ATTTACATCTTTGTGGAAAGAAATCACAATCCTGGCGTAGTTCGACTCTCTAAGAGACAAATTCGTTTCTTGTCTTTTCCATTATGCATCTCAGCCCATAATTCTATCCCAGCTGTTAAGCAACAGAAGCAGGTTTGTAATTATTTGGGGATGAAAGATGAAGCCGTGCTCCCTTTTTCGGGTGTGTGAGTGTAGACGCCGCTCTCTCCGTTTCCATCACATGCCGATTTATTTTTCTTTCAGTCATGCTCTGCTCGAGTCTGTTCCTTTGTTCGGGTTGATGATAACGGGCAGTGACTTTTAAAGTGTAGTGACAAGCTGTCGAGGAGCCAGGGCAGGAGTGAGAGGTGAACCACAGAGGAAGTGCTGGTGGCGGGCGGACTGTTTTGACCTTTACCATGTGATTCCCCTCGCCGACTATGGTTACTGGTCCGATCACCGTGGCAGTGAAGGCTGGTGCAGCATTTTCTTTAATCCTGTAGGGGATTTACAGTAGTTAAACAACAGCATAAATAACAGTGGAAAAGAATAAAACTTGGTGTCTACGCGATGCTTTAATGGAAAACTCGTGTTTCAGACTGTGCAGAAATCCCAGCGCTCCTCGCATCCATTTACAGAGCAACAAGTAAAGTAGTAAGTTCCTCTCGAGGGAAATCTGAATTCTTGAAGCTGTTATATAACACAAGCAATAAAGCACTGAACTAGTTTTTGTGGTGAACCAATTACTGCAGTAAATTAAAAGTTACTGTGTGGATTCTTAACATTTCTGTAGCCTTGACTCTGGTGTCGTAGATGATTTACAGGCTGCTCTGCTTTTAGTTAGATGGAAATATAAGAGGGAAAATGTAGAAAATAGCAGTTAGCAAAGCTATTTCTTATATATTACCATGCCAAGTAGATATATGCTAATGCTAATTATTTATGTGAAGCTGTGCAGGTTAATGGTAAATGGAATAGTTCTTATATAGAGCTTTTCTACTCTGAGCACTCAGACTGCTTTTGTACAACTTGCCTCATTCACCCATTCATACAAGCACTTTTTTCCATGCTTTTCCAATGTAGGCGCTTTCTGTCTATCATTTAAACCCTGATCGATGCATCAGAGAGCAACTTGGTGTTAGCATCTTGCCCAAGGATATTTGGCATGCAGGACTGAAGCAGGCGCTTTGACTGCAGCGTGCTTGCTATCTGTCTGCATTCATAAATTAGATGGGTATTCTTTGTAAACCTTTACCATTCTGTCCTGGGAGTGACAGAGAGGGTCTGGGATTGTTTGGAGACCAGTTGTTTCCCACTATGTGACCAATGCAGTCGCTTTGGTATCGATTGTGATCGCCCAGCTAAACCTCTGGCTAACCAGTTGGTTGCCACAACATCTACTGCAGAGATGGTGATGTATTAGTTGCTAGCCGATTGCAGACTTGTTTGCAAACAACTCACCAACTACTCTTGGAGAAACTTAGCGTGTTGCAAACCGCAAACAGAAAATGTTTGCGTTGAAAGTAAAAGTCGTGCCTTACCGCTCAAATTGAACGGTTGTCCGTTTCCTGTTTGCGTTGTACTTTTTCTGATTTAATTGCCATTTGGCAGGTGTTTGCAGACAAATTGGTGTCATCCTTCAAAAGTTGTCACCTGCTAGCAAACAAAGCAGTTGCAAAGAGGTTGCCGCTATCACCATATCCTTCTCTGTGACCAGATTTCACCCATTAAGTTCCAGCAGCTTGCAGCCGGTTGGTTAATACACCTTTTTCCCTAGCAACCGGTCTCTACACCATGTGACTGAGACCTTTGATGACCAGATTATTTTACTTTCACCCAGGCAAAATTCTTCTAAATGTCAACATTTGGCATTTAATATTTAAAACCAAACTATGGAGAGGGTGAGATGGAGGCAGATGATCTGCGGGGGCGACCCATCAAAGGGAGCAACGGAAGAAGAAGATTTGAAACCAAACTCTGGGGCTTTTTGGAAAATAAGCGATAAAATAATTGTGAGAAAGTCATACTGGAGCAGTTCTAAGTGTTGGGTGGTTGCTTGTAGTAACCTTTTAACAGTTTTTTCTTTCTGATTTGTGTGTTTGCAGTTTGTTTTTCTCTCTGTGTATATCTGTGCGTCTCCCTCATCCACTTTCTACCCACACCTCCCTTCGCCCCAGGTGCTTCAGCCCCATCTCCGATCGACCACTGGCACCCGGCCTCTTCTGCTCCCTCTCCACCTCGATTCATTCCACTCAGATCCAGCAGGTGTAAGCAGAAGTCTTAGCTGGCCTTTTCTATCGGAGATAAAAATTGATAGTTTTTTTATTCATAGCTTTAGCCTCTCCTGGCTGCTTTGATCGTGAAACTAGAAAACCTCTGCGTTCAGAAAAGGCTCTCTGTGTTTGTCGCTGACTTTCTTTCTTTCTTTTTCCAGCGGTTGCATCAGCAGTCGGGGGCCACTTGTCAATTTCGGTGGTTGGGTAGGGAGCACTTAAAGAAAGATGAAAGGCGAGTAAGTGGGGTGGATTTAGGAGAAGGCCCAGGTGAGACGAGAGAGAGCTGAGGGAGAAATGCGGAGCAATTTTCCTGTCCTCGCCCTCCGCCTTTTTAGTGTGACATCAAAAGAGGCTCTTGTCTATGTTTTGGGTAACAGCGCGGCTCTTTAGATGTGACCTCTGTCCTCTCTGGGCGATTGATCGGTGCAGGGTGTGGCGAATATTTACATAACTGACCGTTTAAACTATCTTGCTCTCCATCCGCTGCTTTTAAATATCGCCCTAGAAAAGAAAAGATGTTTTGTTTTTCCATTTGCGATGTCAGACAGTTCATCTCTCGGCGCACATTTTGCCAGCCTCTGTCATCCCCACTCCTCTGTTCTCTCTGGTGATGTCTCCCTCAATTTTCATGCCTCAGCCTCGCTTCCTTTCTCCTCTCCCTTTTGTGCCTGCCTGCTTTTTGTTTCCTCCTCCTCCTCTGTATTCACGGCTGTTTCCACATCTCTGTTTGTTATTTGTCATTTGCGTCTTTTCCTCTTCCTCCCTCTTGTCTGTTGTTGTCCTGTCTTTTCCTGTATATAATTTATTGGCACAATGCATTTGTGTCTTTTTCTCTTTGTGTGTCCTTTGCTTTTGTTTTTTGTTTGGTTTTTAGCTTCCATGTTTCTTCTTGATTTCCTCCAGGTTGCTCTGTCAGGTTTATTCTAGCGGTTTACTTTCTGTCCCTTAAGCCCTGGAGATGAATTATTGAACAGACTGACCCCCGGGTGCTATTGGGGAGGTGTGTGTGTGTGTGTGTGTATTTGTACTTGTTTAGACGTCTTTGTGGGGACCAAAAAAAACCCCAAAATGTGTTTTTTTGGTCAGGGTTAAAGTTAGGTTATGGTTGGGTTTAGGCTACGCGTTAAGGGTTAAGCATACATTTTTGATGGTTAGGGTAAGCGGCTAGGAATAGCATTATGTCAATTAGATGTCCTCACTAAGATATCAAAACGAGAATGTGTGTGTGTGTGTCTTTTCAGTGATTCGGTTTCAGGTCTTTAAATGCTCCTGGTCTTGTATGTCCCTTTGTGTTTTTGAACACTGGCATTTTGAGTATTTCTTCTAAGTGTCAGGAAACCTGAGGCCAATCTCTCGTTTCTTAGCTGTTTTTTTTTTCAGATGGAAGACATCCGGCAGGATTTTTGTTTTTTGTGTTGTTTATGTGTGCTGACGTAAGTGTTGGTGTCATTTGAATGGGACATTTTTAACTTTGACAAAAATAGCAATCCATTTTCATCGTGGGCTGGAGTATTTTGTTTTTTAACAGCCTGCCAACAGATAAAGCAGAACTGCGCTCAACGCCTCTTCTAAAGTCCTGTTTTATTTTTGCTGTGTTTGATGGCCCTGATGAGAGGGACAGGGTGAACGGAGAGGAGACAGGAAGTGACAAATTACCACAAGCTGGCTTTTAGGCCATAATACAGACATGTATGTGGTCCACAACAAAGTGTGACTGATGCTGGATTTTGGCTGTCAGTGCTCAAACCTCCTCTGTATATATCAGCTGATACTGTTTCTCTAGTGAATATACACAGTTGACTCCCAGCTGCATGTGCTGCAGACAGTGTTGTGCGTACGCCTCGACAAACTGTGCAATGACATCATTTTTAAGCAGATATGCGTGAATAATAATAATCGTGTGTTATAGCTCACTTACAGCCAACTTCAGTTTCATACTTGTTTGATTTAATAGACTGTATATAAAAGATGGTCAGAACCACAACAAAATTAAGGATGCTGCATTCTTATTGGCTAGCAGCTTTCGATAAATGGGTCGTTAGCCAGAAAGAGTGCCCCCTTTTATAATCGTATCTGAGTCTAACAGGGACAATGGTTTACTGTAAAGCTCTATACAGACTATTACATTTATCTGGATTGGCTAGAATATCAACCCTGATTAAAGATACCTGGTGTTAGCTAGCTCTCAGTTCAAAGTGGCTAACACTCAGTGACTTTGTCAGGTCAAATATTTCTTCTTTTCTGTCCATAAGAGAACTTTAATAAGAGTACTTTGGTGTAATTCTAATATTTTCCCCTAATCATCGCTTCAAGCTTGTAACTTATTGTGCAGAGGAAGTTGATTTGTTTGTGCTGCAGACAAATTGCCTCAGTTTTTTGTTTTGCAAATTTTTTTTGCTCATTTCCTTTTATTTTTTAACTCTTTGCTCTATATTAAGCTTTTTGGGGTGAATTGAAGTTGAAATGTTCCTAGGCTGAAATAATCTCATCGACAGTAAACGCGGACAGATAAGTAGCTGGCAAAAATATCTTCACGTGCAAATGTGAGCACTGAGGCGTTCAGTTAAAGTTTTTCCAGACAGCTTCTGAACACTCCCGATCCCAGAGACTCAGTTCGCAGCACAAGCAAAGTGATCAACAGGTCATCAGACATCCATCTGTTCCCTGCACAGCTCAGGGCGCAGCAGTGCGAGGGCGCTGGATATCGAATCTAATTTTAGTGTCGTTGTGTGTGGTTTCCTGCAGGCTTTTCAATCTGACCCTGAAGAAGCTGATCATGCTGAAGGAGCTGGATAAGGACCTCACCTCAGTCGTCATCGCGGTCAAACTGCAGGTACGAGACGTCTCCAGAAGCACGAGGTGAAACGCACCTGCTGTACACGGAGGCTGGAGTTTTATGGAGGCATTATTTTAGAAATGCATCAAAAGAAAACGTTTCTGCAAACAGAATAAAACAACTTTAAAGATTACACATACAGATCCCTGTGAACAGTCTATGAGCGATAACTGAGTAATAACCAAAACAGAATTAGATGATGGGCACTAAAATCATACCTCGAAGCTCAGTTCCAGGAAACAAAATCAATTTTTTTAAAGTCTGACTGAACTTTCCTAGAAATGAAATCCTCCCCAAGGTTACATCCTGTTATGTCAAAGTCTGCTTGAGTTGAACATTTATCTTTATCTTTAATCATTAAATGACATTATAGGATTCAAAGATTTCCACTTTCAACTATGCTTAACGAGCAGACGATGAAAAACGAACCAACTCCCCACCTGGGGAAAAACCCGAAAGACTCAGCCTTTGTTGCCCCGTTTGGCTTTTCTGTAAAGCCGTTTATTGTTTTGCTGAGTCGGTTTCATTGGACGCAGACACGCTTCCTCCTCGTTGTTTTGCAGCCAAGCTGCTTTCTGAAATGCCTCATTAGCCGGGTGCTTTTCTCTTAGAACTGGCAGAAGGAGCAGCGCTGCCAAATCCCACTTTTTCTGACCATTGGAGAGCTTTTTGGCAGCGCAGGCGGCCAAGTTAGTTAAAGTTAGCACAGAATACTTCAAAAATACTGCATTTTGTCACATTTTGTTGTCATTTCTCTCTCTAATGCCAGGGCTCCACTCCAAACTTCTACTCGCTGGCTCGTTTTCAGTCTTGATTGCTATCGTCTTGTTTTCTAAGTAAACCATTAAATTCTCTGCTGCTCTCTCACATAAGGCTCTTTAAGCTGGTTTAATTCTTTTTCCATGCGGCTGCCGCTCGCTCAGTCTTCCAGCCCTGCTTTCTCCTATCAGGCATTTCTCCTTACTCACCTCCTCCTCCGGCTGTGCATGGCTGATGATAATGATGAGTCTGTTGTTTTGAGTCTGCTGGGGTTAGCTAGGGCACGCTAATAGAAATCTTTCTCTTTTTTTCTTGCTTGCTTTCTTTACTTTCACCATTTCTTCTGTAGTCATCAGTCTGTGTCTCGTCTTCAGGGCTCCAAGCGGATCCTGCGCTCCAATGAGATCTTGCTGTCCTCAGCAGGACTGACGGAGACCGATCTGCAGCTCACCTTCTCCCTCCAGGTACGAACAAAGGTTCAGCGAGATCAGGGACCCATCAATCACAGCCAAACAATAACTTTCTGGTTTTACAGAAAACATAGAAACAACAATAACACAAAAAATTGAATCTCTAGCTTCAGAAATGCAAAAGTCTTGAGCCAACCGTCATTTTTTTATATTTTACCAAGGAGCCTTCTTGTAATTTTTTCATAGTGGTTTGGATCAAATGTTCCCCAGGCCGTCTGAAGGTCTCTGTGTTTGTTTGACAATGGCTGATTTTCATTTTCACTTCAGCCTTTGTACCCGATCCTTTTCACAGCAATATTTATTTGGCGCCGAAATCAAGAGATGAACCAGTGTTGTGTCTACATGTGACAGACAACTTAGCAAATAACCAATTTTAAGTTCTCTAAGTGAAAATCAGTGGTAACAGGTCTGATAGAGTCATTAATCCAAAATTCATATTTTAAATTTTGTGTCCAGAAAAGGTCAGAACTCATAACAGTGAGTGTCTGCAGCCATCTGTAAAACATGGCTCCGTCATGGTTTGGGCTGCATTTCAGACAGTGATGTTGCGGGTCTTGTCAAAATTGGGGAATTATGAATGCAGAAATGTACAGTCATGTTTTGATCTGCCATGCAATACCATCTGTACAGTGTCTGAGTGAAATTGGCTTCAGTTTTCAGTGTAGCAATAATTCACGAAGCACTGCCAGTACAGTGAAAGCACACCTGGATAGAAAAACACACAATGAAGCACTATCAGTCATGGATTGGGCTCCCCAGAGCAGTGTGGGATCATCTTGACAGAGAACAGAACAAAAGGCAGAAACATCCAAAGAAGCTTTGAATGTCCTTCAATAAACCTGGAGAACTATTCCTGAAGTCTACTTAAAGAAATGGGAAGAAAGCTTCCTCAGAGAGTTCAGGCTGTGATGAAGAGTAAAGGTGGTCGTACCAAATATTGACTTTCAAGCTCATCAGAATTGTGCAAACTCAGTTTTTGCCTTATATACTCCATTATGTATGTTTTTACACGCCTCAGTAAACTGTTGCACCTATTTCCAATTTTATTAGCAAAACATAAAGAAATGTGGAGTGGCTTAAGACTTTTGCACAGTACTGTATCTTTACAAACCTGGAAAACTTTGGCGTTGCTAGATGAGGGAAGATCAGGGAAGCGGATCCTTTAGCTCTGACGCGTTTGCACCTGTGATATTAAAACAGTTTGGGATAGTTTGGAAAAGTCTACACAAAGCTGCAGAAGTGTCGCCTGCAACTCTCCATACAGCAACAATACGGAGTGCATTAAGGCAGAGCGTGGTTAATGTAGTTCCCAGCGAGGTTTTCTTGTGCTCTAAATCATGCTTTCCGATTTCCATGACTCTAAAACGCTGCTAAAAGGTCAGGGAGTTTCTCTCTCTGGAGCTTGCCGAGTGCACCGAGCCAGGCATTATACATTATACATTATACATTAAACTTCCTACAGCAGCAGCGCTGCGGAGAGGAAGCTTATTAAAATCGAGCCACCGGAGTCGTTTCACGGCTTTAAACATTGTTACAGGAGCGAGTTTGGTTCCATTTATAGTGCAGCTGCTGAGATCGTTAATGATGGGTTATGTCATAGTTGGGCTCAGACTAAGTAGTTTGACACCTGGGGATGCTGAGCGAGGTCAGTGTGTGTGAGGGGACTTATACAAGAAGCTTGGATCAGTCTAATTATCAAGTCCTGAGAAATAAACATTATTTATTGAAACATCTGAATTCATTCAGGAAATAAGTGTTGTGTTGTGTGTGTGTTTCTACCTGCAGTATCCACATTTCTTAAAGAGAGATGCCAACAAGCTTCAGATCATGCTGCAGAGGCGCAAGCGATACAAGAACAGGACCATCCTGGGCTACAAGACCCTGGCTTTGGGTCTAATCAACATGGCCGAGGTAACGTAAACCTGCAGAGGTGATTTATTCTGTTTTTCTTAACCTTTAAATCTGATCACTTTCCTCTTCAGCTTCTTCCTCCTTGATTATTCCTGACGTTTCCTCAAATGCCTTAAATGTGCTGCATTTATTGCATGTAGAATAAACCTGTGAAAATGGGACATTTGAGCTACATTCAATACGTCTCCCGTTGGCCTTTTTTTTTATCTTTCTAAATGTGTTTTTCTAAATTAGGTTTAGCTTCTTTGAATAGCAATGTGCATTTATTTAAACCCATAAATAAACCCTCAGCGTTTCTTTACTGGAAGCAGTGCTGCAGCTTTTTGTTGAAACATTTATAGATGATTCATCGGCGAGTGATGGAAAATAATGTTTAGCCCGAAGCTCTTATAGGAGACATCTGTGCCAGCTGACCTTGTTCGCGGCACTTTTGCACAGTTGTAGTGCTCTCCAAACAAAAGACTGTGACGAGTCAAAACTAGAGCGAACAATTTCTGGAGAAAAGGCAGCGGGATCGTTTCTATTGTCAGAGTTTGACTGCTGCTAGCTGCTTGCAAACAATTGGAGGTAAATAAGAGGACAAAGGGAGCTGAATGGAGACAGATAATTTAAGATGTGGAAGGAGGGAGAGTCTTAATGATTGTTCGGACGTTTGTGTGAGAGAGAAAGAGGCAGAGAAAAGCAGCGTTTGTGTTGTGTTTTTGTCCACAAAAGCTCTATTTTAGGCAGAGTGTTATGATTACAGGAGAGCGAGAAAATGTATCTTAAGTATCCAACACGTAGGGAAGGGGGCAATTAAATCAACCAATCAGTGATCATTTGAAATCACTTCTTACCAGCTTCCAAACATGTCGGTTAAACATCCATACATCTGTTTTCTTCCATTTATCTAATTCAGGGATGTACCACCATACTACCGCTGCCAAAGGGTAAGAGGCGGGGTACAACCTGGGCAGGTCGCCAGTCTGTCGCAGACCATTCACACTCACATTCACACCTACAGGCAATTTAGAGTCACCAATTAAGCTAACCCCACTAACGGTGCTAACCACTGCACCGCTGTGCTGCCACATATCGTGATATCATTAAATTCTATCATTCTTGATTTATGGCCAAATTTCCAATTGTCTTTAAGTCCAGCTGAACGTTTCTGAAAAAACAGACGAAATCCTCTGACAGTGTTCAAGATTGAGCTCGTTCCCAAAAATGTAGAAAATTCAAAGTGAAACGCCGACTGTGAGACGGCCGCGCGTCCTCTCAGCAGCGGTTACATTTCTCTGCGGTCTTCAAAGAGGTGAAGCGCAGAGTTGCGACTTTGCAGAATCTCGTGTTTGTGTCAGCATTGCAGGGAAATGAGTATCAGGCAGGTGAGCGATTGCACTTTGCTTTAACAGACGTGTGGCTATAGTATTATTATTTATTCTTACATTTCCAGCACTGGGCGCCTCTGAGGCAGCAGATGGAGGTTAAGCTGCATGTTTGAGGGTGCGTCAGCTGCGAGCTGTTGAGTCAGTGGAGTCTCATCCTTTGCAGCCAGACAAAAGTCCCAGCTGATCTGAGCTGTTGACCCAACAAGCCACCGGTCACGGTCTCATCTCTCTAAACATGCAGCTTCTGCCCTCTGCTTAAATCCGATCTTCATTTCTCAGCCGGTCTTCGCAGAACGTTTTCTAAAGCTAATATCCAGCACGATAATCCGCGATGCTCCTCTCTTGTGGCAGCTCCCTTCATACACATCATTCCTCTCCTCCTTTGTCATTCAGGAAATTTTCATTCACAGCGGCGGCTCGCAAAACGTATTTATTGCCAACCTTCATTTAACCTTCACGTAAACTCAATTCGCCGAGTGCGCTTTCAAATCAGACGCTGGATTTTGATCTCTGGCCCGGCGTCCTCTTCTCGGCCGACATAAATGTCGCCACAAATCAAACGTACAATTAAATTTCAGCCTCTTCTGCCAAAAGCTCCTCACATTCCCTGCTTCCTCCGATATGAAACTGCTTTAAAAGGCTGGTGATTTATGCCGTCTGTACTTGTGTGCGCACGTGTGGACGGTCTTTGTCCTTTAGGAACGCCTGTTAGCTTTCACCAGCTGTGTGTGTGTGTAAGTCAGGATTATTAAATGTGTAAAACACCTTCAACTCTCTGGCTTCACATAAAATGTTTTATGGAGAGAAAAGAACATAAATCCACAGTCACTCAACAAACGGGTCTGATCTCATGTTTACAGGAGTGTCTTTGTAGATGGAACTGAACCAAATACGGTAGAGTGAGCTGTTATAATACATCCAACCCTAAGTCAGACTTCCAGTCCTGATTAAACTATGTTTTTGGTGCCTGCTGGCTGTCCATGGCCGTCCCTGCATATATAATAAAGTCACATTTTATTCCAGAGCCAGTCTCAACAGACAATTTGTCTGTTGAGTGCTTTATAAAGGGCAGAGGCCATAAATTCAGACTCGTACGTACGGCAGGTTCAAACTCATTCCCTCTGAGCCACAGCAGAAGTTACTCTGCTGCCATATTCTGCCTAAAGCTCTGTGTGTGTGTCAGGAAAATAATACGCTACAGGGGACACACGTGGGCTTTCAGAGTCACAGAGAAATGTCATGTTTATGGCACTGTGCTGCCTTAATATGACAGGTAGTTTCCACTGACCCTGCAAGCAGCAGGAGGAGAATGAACTGCTGAACCTGTTCATGATTTCAGAAACATTTTGCTTCTGAATCTGAAATCTTACAAATTCAGTTTTATTTATACGTTACATTGTAAGGCTATAACAATACAGAGAAACCCCAACAATCAGATGAGCCCCTATGAGCGAGCACTTTGATGACAGTGGGAAGGAAGAACTCCCTTTTGACAGGAAGAAACTTCCAGAACCAGGTTCAAGAAGCCGTGACTGGTTGGGAAGCAAATGAAGGATAACTCAGAAGAAGTTCAGGACGGCGCAAAAGTCTTGAGCCACTCCCCATTTCTTTATATTTTGCTTCTGAATAGCCTTTCATGTGGTACGGAGCAAAAGTTCTCCAGGATTTCTGAAGGTCTTTAAAAGCTTTTGTTTGGCTGCTTTTTCCACATATTTTCAGTCCAGTCTCTCTGGACTAACCAGTGTTGTGTTTACACAGTACAGATAACAATTGTATCTTTAGGCACTTTGTTACTATCAGCATGTTGCAAGAACACATCATTTGTTTCCTTTTCTTTAGATAAATCGTCGAAAAATACCAAGGATATCACAGTTTAACTGCTACAAAGTAGTATTTTTGTACCCACAAGGTACGGTGAGAGTCGAGGACCAGGTTAACGGGTTAGTCGATTTCTGAGTGGAGTGATGGACTCACTGCAGTCGTAGTTATGCGCTACGTCTCGTTTGAGCGGGCTCTGAACCTTTAATTTCTCGAGTGTTACTAAACATTGTTCAACAGTGGCTGCGTGTTTTTGCATATTTAGAATTCTTCATTTGTTTTCATTTTGCTTTTATTTTGAAGTTTTCTTCACACTTCAGTTTCCTTTCATTTAGTTGCCATAGTAGATTTGTAGATTTGCGCACAGGAGCAGGTTAGCAGTAGACCACCCACACATTTTAGGGTTTTTTTTTTTTGGTGTCAAGCTGCTTTTTTAATGTTTTGAAGTTGGACTTTTCTTTGGGGACTGAAACTACGTCCACTCTGGAAGTGATTCACAGCCATCAGAGACGATAGAAAGTGAAGCAACTATGTTCAAAAATGTGGTAAAAATATGGGCAAACTAGCAACTAGTGGGCAGGACTCAAGATAAACTTTCTCAACTTCAAGGCGAACGATCAAAGCGACTAATAATGAGAGTAACGAATGGCTTTGACTTACCTGGTAGTAAACACTTTAGAGGCAATTGGTGTGAAAGGCTTCCAGTCTGAATCTAAAAGTGAAGCTGATTCACACACAGCTCAAAACTCATTCATTCAGAGAGCTGTTAGCTTGTGATTTACTGTTAAATCCTGCACAGTAGGAATCGACTCCTTATTACCTTTGTTACAAACTATCTCCAGACTATTTGGACATCTACCAAAATTTGTTCGTACATGAACGATGCTCACAGGGGGTTTATTGTGTGAGTTGTGATTTTTTTTATTTGTACGAGACTTTAAAGCTTTAAATTACTGTTAATTTTTTTTTTCTTTTTTGTAGAGCGTGCAAACCACACAGGCTCACTTTCAGTTGGAGGTTTTATGTGATGTCATTGGTGGAGGGAGGTTATTCAAAGATCTAGCGGTGTAAAATTGCTGGTTGTCACTTTTTAAGCACCATGAAATCCTCCATAAAATGCACAATTTTGTAAGAAGTGGAAGTGTGAGAGCGAGATGACATAACAATTCCTTTAAAATCATCTTGTCATTTATTGCCCGTGTGCTTTCACGATACTGAGAAATAAAACATTGGTTTCATTACTTTTTCTTAATTAATCAATATCTATAAATGTTTCTGACTTTTGGGCTTTGAAGATATATTAAAATCATGTTAAAGTCATCATTACTGCTATTTAATTTTTTACTATGTGAAGAAAATAAAGCATCATGAGCTCAGGTGGCATTTAACTACTTTAATTTTTAAAACTGCGTAAAGATTCAGAAGATGCGCCTGCACTGAATCCTTGTGTGGGTTTTACTGTCTTCATGAGGGGAAAAGCAGTCGAATTACGTCTGTGTTCCTCTCAGACACGCATGTTCATCTTCATGCTGTTTGATAGATTTGCATAATTGTCTTTCTTTGAGAAAATGGTTAAAATTAGCAGCTGCAGGAAGCTTCGGGAGCCTATCGGCAGCATGTGCGCCAGTGTAGGTGAATGGATGCACGGCAACAACGTCTCTCTCCTTGAATGTTTGGCTAAGGCTGGCTCCATAATAAGCTGCTCAGACTTCATTAAATGTGCGAGTGTGACCAGATTCCTGAGAGAGGCTGGGTGTCACTCGGTTAGACGCACAAACACACACAGCAGACGTGGCGCTGCTCTTTGCTGCAGCCGCACAGAGAATTGATTGCCTCTGCCTTGCCTGTGCGTGCTTTCTCTGTCGGCGTCTGGTTTTGTTCATTTTCCTCAGCCTTGTTTTGTCTCCCGGTTTCTTTATTGTTCTCTCCATCTGCAGAGCTTTCATGCCAGTCTCTATTGCTTCACTGCTGTTTCCCCTCCTCGTCTAATGCTGTTTAAATGATGTATAGTCCAGTGTATCCCTACTTTGTCTGTACAGGAAGACCAAGAATGGAAATAAGTAGATTTTATCCTCAATAATTCAGTTAAAAAGATTATCTGACTTCTTTGTTTTTTCAGTCTCCTTCTTTCTGTTTGCATGCTGCTATTTGACTATTCAGACGCTCATTTGGGAAGAGTTTCTTTTAAAGAGAACGTCGAGATTCTATTCAAATCTCATACAGGCTAGCACACACTAAGTTGTGGATACTTGTGGATAAAAACGTAGCTAGAATGTGGATACATTTACATTTAATCCAGCTGACTCTGATCTCGTTTAAACGCTGCTGCTTTTTTCCTTCCTCAAGGTGATGCAGCACCCCAGCGAGGGTGCCCAGATCCTGGGGCTGCACAGCCAGGTGAAGGATGCCTCAGTGCCCGTGGCTGAGATCAGAGTCTACTCCCTGTCGAGTCAGCCCATCGATCACGAGGGACCTAAAGCAAAGATGTCTGGTGCGCACATCATCTCACCGAATCTATCTTTCTCTCTAATAGTCTGTGTCTGCCCTCCTCCTGTCAGTTTGCTCCCATTCCTCAGTGGCGTCTCTTTTTCTGCGTCTCCCTAGATCGTTCTCCAGACATCGACAACTACTCTGAAGAAGAGGAGGAGAGCTACTCGTCAGAGCAGGAAGGCAGCGATGACCCCATTCACGGGCAGGTGTGTTGAGATGAGGACAACAATCACTTCATGGTTAATCTTGCAGTCACTCTGCCTCGCCCTCCATTTTCAAGTTGTTTTACATCATGGAAGCGGCTGCTGAAAGTATGTGAGCAGCACAGATCATAAATAATTTATATTTACAGCTTTACAAAGAATGAAAACATCTAAAAATCAAAAACCCAGCTCTCACATTTGAACCAATACCATAATTCCCACTGATTTCCACATCTACAAATAAATATTTTTGTATAAGCAGACACAGGAACGACAGAAAAAGCGAGTCGTCCAGATTTGGTCGAACCGACGGGGTTATTGGGTTTTCTCCAGGAGCATCAGTTCACAGTGACACTGGTGTGATGATCAGCGGAGCACTGGTGCTTTCTTTATTATGTTACCTTCTTTCTGAGATTACGAGAGAGAAGACGGTGGGTCTCAGTGGGACGTAAGGGGAATTGGCGCCCATCGGTGCGAGAGATTGAAAGGAGCAAAAAGACAGCATGGAGAGATAAGAAGAGAGCAATGAGGCTTTTGGGGGCCAGATTGAAAAGGCAGAAGGGAGAGACGGAGGGAATCCGAGCGCCAAGAGGGAGGATAAACGGAGCGCAGGGCGTTACGGTAGAGAGGTGAAGAATTAACTTCAATACTGAAGCAGGAATCGGGTCAGAGCTGGGGTTCAGTTTCTTGTTTTCATGGTTTTTGTGTGTTTTGATGATAATATAACCAAGGGCAAGTTAAGCTGAGTTTTGAGGGACATTTCAACACTGCTAAATGAGAGACAGATGGGGGGGATAAACACAAGCTGTTGTTTTAATTGATTTTAATTGAACGTCAGGGTCGGCCAAGTTAGCCACATCTATTCTGCTCTACTTGTCACCTGGCAACACGGCCTTGTTTACTGATATCAGTCTATTGAAAAATAAGAATACATTTAGTGACCTACTGATTAAGCTATTAGAGCTGCACCTAAGGTTTAAGTCACAGTATTAGTAATTACAGAAACCTAAAAACTGATTTCTTTGTTTCGCTGGCACAAAAGGAGGAACGACAACCAAAAAACACAAAATAAAGAGAAATAGTGGTTTTTGGCTTCATGTTGGCAGCCAGCAGCTGAATGAAAAAACAATGTATCCATGTTACCAGGAGCAACAGTGTAACCACGCAGACAAATTGTGTCGCTAAGACTCATTCGTTTTTTTTCTTATAGCTGGAGTTGGCGACCTTGAACTAACCTTTAAAACACCACTTGCTCTCCTCGTCTTCCTCTCATTCGTGTTTCTCTCACTTTTTCCTTCTCAGTATCTGTTTGATGAAGACGAGGAGGTGAGGAAGAAGAAGCCGAGGCGTAAGCTGCCTTCCAACGCTGGTATCACCAGGGTAAGGAGAAGAAAAGCCCCCTCCCTGATCTCCCCCTTCATCCTACCTGCTTGTTTTGTGCGTGAAGCACTTTTGCAGCAAACCCGCTTCGTGCGACGGCCGTTTCAGATAAATTTGATTTGACTGGACTCAACAACCCTCCCTCCTCCTGCGCAGCCTCTCGCCTCACCTCATTCAACCTCTCCTCCTTATCTGCTCGCCCCAACCTCCCCTCCCGCTCCTGTCTCTCTTTCTCGGCCTGGCTCGCTCCCGTGTTGGTTTATCTGCAAATCCATTTTCTGCCGCTCATTCACTCTACGTATGATCAGGCCGATTTTAACCTGAGGCTGCACGGACACACACGCGCACACATAAACTGTACATAAAGGCTCAGCAGGAGGCACAGATTACAACACAATTTAAATTTTTTTAAATCACCCTGGAAAAAATGAAGGTAGAGCTGCAGCTTAGCAGAAGAAAGGCAGCATTTGGTATGTGCGTGCTTGTGTTTGTCTAAGGAGGCTGTTATTGCGGCACCTTTGTAGATTCTATAGAACACACACACACGTGCGCGCACACATGCACACACTAACCACCTGCACTGCTACACACACATTAAATATGTACTCGCTCTTAAAAGCCCCTACAGCAGACCCTGCACCCTGTGCGTCCCCAGGAGGTCCGACATGAAGCCGACCCTCTCCACTGCGTAGCAGCAAATTGCGACAAATCCTCCAAAACACTCTCACTCTCCACAGCCACTCAGACACCCACTTGTTTTGCAGATGAAAGCTTTGCTTTGTACTTTTTTTTCCTTCATTTTTTACATCCAAACTGAGTTTTTCATCCTTTCTTTTTTTGTTTTGTTTCTGGGTTGTTGTTTTTTTTAAAACCCAAAACGACGCTGAGAATTTTATTTTAACGTTTGGCCTGAAGTAGATTTACACACATGCGAAGATTGTTGGGTTTCCACTAATTTTAAAAAAGAAAAACATGCCGTGTCCCAAAGATGGCTTCAGGTAGAATAATCTTCATATTTAAACAGTGAACTGCAGTGTTTGCAAGGACAGTTGTGTGTTTATGAGTCGGCTGTATTTGCTGCTTGACTTTGTGCATTTAAATTAATGTCACAGAATAAGAGGATGATGCCAAGCGTTTGAAACCATGCCTTTTGTTCATTATCTGTATTTTTCATGTCCAATCAGGACATCGAAGTCATGAGTTATAAAACACAGCGGACAATAATAGAGGTCCTGCCTTTGTAAACTCAGTTGGGAAATAATCACATTGACTAATATAAATTTCGATCACTATCATAGGATCAAAGAAAATTTTTTGGAAAGTACATTTAGTAAATTGCTTTCTAGATTAAATATTCATGCAGAATAATCTGTTTTTGACTGATCCAGGTAATTACATACCCGAAAAATCATAGTGTTTATTAGATTTATGCAGAATTATGTAAGAATCCAGTAAAGCCACAAATCACTGATGCACATTAATAAATAGATGAACACAGAGATACCGAAAGGACAAACGTTAGTCACAGGGAGCTGCAGCTACGCCTCTGTTGGCATCCACCTGTCTGACAAACAGCTAAGACTTGTTGCTGCTTAATATTTCAGTGGGTGAGTCATACAACTGTAAACATCGATGTTAGGGAGAAAAAATGTGCTGCTGAAATCAAAACAGGTTTTGGACTGGGCTGTAAGCACGTTCTGCAGTGATGTTGATCATTTGGATATGAAAGTCTGTGTGCTTTGCTTCTAGAAGCATCCTCGAGTGGTGATTGGAGGAACTGCAGAAGCTGCTATGGTGGTTGCTGCTCGCTACCTTATAAACTACCTCTATTACTGCTACAGTGTGCTACTATTACAGCTTAGAGGTGAATGGGCAGTTTGTAGGGCCACACAGTGAATGTTGTTAGTGACATTTGGCAAAATAACTGACAGCTAACAGGTGGGTGGGTACGTCCAGAGTTAAGGGGTATTCACACAGTGACTGGCGGCACCATGGCAACCAGTCCCCATAGAAATCCATGACTTCAAATAACCATGGGGGAAATGATCGCCGGCAATACATAGTGGGCGGGTCTTGAGTTTAACTTTTCTGACGGTTGAAGTGAGCAATTAAAGTGACTACCAATGAGAACGCAGGATACCATTGATTGACATGTGACAGTAAATACATTCGAGCACTGGTGTCAAACCTCCCGCATGGCCATTCATACTAGACCATGTGATTTATTCCTTCTTTGTTTCTGATTTTTGTTTAGCTGAACCTTTTGTATACTCTTATACATTTATGTCTGAAATGAATGTGTTATTTGTGAATACATTGTATTTAGTTGCTTTAGCTTTACTGCAACATTGAAAAAAAAAACCCTATTCTAAACATATTGCAGTTATTTTGTGTCAACAGAGCAAGTGCAACAATGTCACCAGCTGCTTGGAGCTTACTACATTATCATTTAAAGCAACGGTGGCGTTATGTGATGTGTTTGTAGAGTATGAGCCAGAGGCTAATACAAGAGACCAGGTGGCTCAATAAGTTATAACATTTCTCTGCAACTGCTGCGTGTGCAAATTAGTTAGTAAGCATATCAACTCACCTATGAGGCCGTCAAATGGTTATTACAGGTTATAAAAAGTGTAGTGTTTTAGAAATAGTCTTGGATTTAGTTTTTGAGGTAAAAATAACTTGTGCATTTGAAGATCCGCTTCCTTTTTGCAGGATAATCTCGTCTGGCTCACAAATGTCACGCACGCAAAAATGTAATTGAATTTTGAACTGCCGAGTCGGACAGATGTCGCACGTTTCAAGAAAAACTCCAGACTCGCGTTCAGTAAATGTTACATCTTCCTTTTTCAGATCACTTTTTGAATAAGATAATCAGTCCTTTGCGATTATTCAGGAAACGTATCTCGTGTTGGGAAGCGTCGACTTGGATAACCTCGGTAACGGGCCCGCTCTCACAGATTCCAGTGTAATAACACGAGGCACATTTTTCCTTTGCAGAAGTGATGCTGCATCCATTAACTGCTGCTGTTTTGACTCATCAGGCGTGAAAAGTGCGTGGAGATTGCCTCCTGTCGGTTTTCCCTAGGCTGTCGTGTTCTCCCCCCACACACACGCACACACACTGATATGAACATCTATCTCCGAGTTTCACGTTGTGCCTTTTTTTCCATTTTCTCTCTCACAGCAACCCAACATCAAACAGAAGTTTGTCGCCTTGCTGAAAAGGTTTAAAGTCACAGATGAGGTGGGTGCTCATTTCTCCGTTGTTTTTCTCTCTTCTATTCCCCTCCCCTCTCCGTGGCTCTTCTTCCTTCCTGATCACTTATATCACACGTCCACACTTCGGCTTTATGTGCGAGGTTCAGAGTGTGCGTTTGCCAGGTTGTTGGGAGTTGACGTGTATTTCAGTTGAGCTTTGAAGACACACGGAGATGTGTGGGAGAGATGTGGCAGAACAACTGAGATTCAGCTGGCAGCTCACAATGACATTGTAATTTAAAATAGAACAAAGATGTTTGTGTGTGTGTGTTTGTGTGCTTCTGTCAAGCAAAATATGTGTGTGCTGTCTCAAAGTGGGTGCGTGTGTGTTACAATCTATTAAAATTTCATTACCTTCCCTCTGTGTCTTTACAAATCGAATTTTGTTCGTCTGTGCTTGCATCCTGTGCTTGCTCGTGTCGCTTTTCAAAATTGCAAATTGGAATATTGCTATTTTATTTGTATAAGCGTGTACGACATATTGATTTTGTTTGATTTCATACAGTTGGATTGTTTGTGTAGTTTTGTGTCTGCACACCACCACAGAGGAGTTTCAGATTTGGTATTAACGTGCAGATTTTCAGCTTTAAGTCGAGGTTTTTTTTTTTAATTAATTGGATAACTCGCTGCACAGCAGCCAGATGATGCCCATCCATTCATTATTCAATGACAAATTAAGAGGATAAAAGATCTGGAGTTAATTAAACTTGTATTTGGTAGCTTTTCACTGGGATTTTAAATATGAGGCCCAAGAGATGTCGGTGCAAGTGAAGTATGCCGTCATTAAGCCTGCAAATCTCGGGAAACCTGTCACAGAAAGAGCAAAAACTTCAGTAGCGAAAAGAATCTACAGTCTGGTGCATTGTTAGAAAGAATGGATGCACTCAGCAGCTCAGCTACACTAAAAAGCCTAAAAGAGCACAGAAGACGGCCAAAGTGCACGAAAACCATCAGCGGTTTCACTTAAGTCACATCAGACTTGGACTGAAAACATGTATAAGAGCACGCACAGTTCTGGAGAGTTTTTTGTGGACGGATCAAACTAAGATGAAAAAGTAGCAGAATGATGGGAAGAGAAGCATAGTGGCAGCAGTGTTAGGGCGAGGGCATGTATGGCTGCCAGTGGAACTGGGTCAGTAGTGTTTGTTAATGATGTGACTGCAGATGCAAGCAGCAGGATGAACTGTGAAGTGCACAGGGCTGTACGTTCTGCTCAGATTCAGTCATATGCTGCAGAACTGGTCACACAGTGCTTCATAGTGCAAATAATGACCCAAAGCAAACTGCAAAAGCAACTCAAGAGATTCTTAAAGCAAATAAATGTGATTTTCTTCAAGTCAGTCACCTAAGCTCAACTCAGCGGAGCAGAATTTTGGCTACTGAAGGCAGAGACCCACAAAAAAGCAGCGGCTGCATTAAAGGTCTAACAAAGCATCCCAAGTGAGGAAACGGCATTTTCTGACGTCCATAAGCTCTACACTTCAGCCTTCTAGACTTGTGTTCGGTTAATTTGGAGCATCTGAAAACAGGAGACTGGTTATAAAAATGTCTGTAATTCCTGAACATTGAATGCAACACTTTCTTTAATTAAAGCTGTTTTAAGATCTGCTGTAATGGTGTGCAGAGGCAAAGCCTGAACATGTGACGTCTTTTATTTTAATTACTCAGATCACTGTTATTGTAAAATGTTCCATGTGTATTGCTGTGACCAGTGTTGCAGAAAATCTACTTCTGCTTTATTCATGTGATTACAAACATTGCTGATCCTAGCAAAACTCTTTCTGCTACTTTTTAAGTACCACGAAGGCGGTTTGATATTTGTTGTTTATGTCTGTTTGTGTACAGATTTTGTCACTGGGAAAACATCACAGCCGCACAAGACAGAGTTATAAAATTTTTAGGTGTTTAGTTGAGATTGAAACAAAAGTGGAGTTCAGAGGTGAGTCTTGTTCAGTCTGTGTGATCTAATCTGACGAGGGCCTCTGGTCAAATCTGACCTGATTATTTAATGATGGTTTGGTAGAAGTGACGCTCCATGTACTGCAAACTGGTTATGGAAGCTGAGGATTGGATTGCCCTCCACACTGATCACCGCTCAATCCAATAAGCAGCAAACCCCTGCGGACCAATGTAGCCTTTTCAGGTCAAGGCCCCGTGGGCTAAAGGAGTCAGTTTAGGTGGTCCTGATTAGGATACTTCCTGGACGTCACCTAAAAGAGGTGTTTCAACCATGTCCTACCGAGAGAAGGCTGCCAGGAGACTAGCTGGAGAGATTATACCTCTGGGCTCTCTTGAGAAACACTCAGTCCCCCACCGCCCCAGAGTCCCTGTGACCCAAACTCAGATAAGGAGCAGAGGATAGTTGGATTCTTATAGATTCAGCCATAAGTTTAATTATTAACTATCTGGAAACTCATCGCTGCAATAGAAACCCAATTTTACCCCAGCTTATCCTTGTTGAACAACAAACTAGATGATTTTTACAATAAAATCACATCTGACTCGATAGTAAAGAATTCTCAGACCAAGGCCGTCTCACGGTTATTCCTCTGATGCACCATCAGTCCACGTGTACTAAAGGCAGTAAGACTTTGACCTTATTTGACCAACTGCCTAATAACTAAATCAATCCCCTCGACAAACAATAACACTACAAAGGGCCTGACACCTCACCTGTCATTTGATGCATAAAAAGACCATAAACTTGTTGAAAAGCGTCACCATAGCAGCAGCGGGGACAGCTTCACATCATGCACTAAACACACTTTCCGTGAGAATGCACATCAATCTGAAACACTCAGGACCTCCTGCAGGTTAAAACACAATGTATTTCAACAAATATTACAAAAGTGCAGCTTGTGATTGAACTGATGGATCAGTAGTGCTTTACACAAATTCCCAGTACCAGCGACTGAAATGATATTGTTTACAGCGCTGGTGTTTTTCCTTAAGGAAATATCCTGCCGTCCAAGTCTGCTTTCATTGAGATGCCAGCCACGCGTGTGCCTATGACACAATCACAATGAAAAGTCTGTCCACAGACATATAAACACCAGTCGGAGTACTTTGAGGTGGTTGCTTCTAATGAATGCATCTCCACCTTGTTTTTCCCCCTCAGTGATCTCACACACATGCACGCACACACACAGGTGGATAGTGTTACATTATGAAAGCAGAACCAGCTATGCTATCACATCAGATAACAATACAAATGATTATCCATTGTGTGTGGTTTACTGGCTGGCTCCTGAGTGCGCTTTAAATCGTAAAGACGTGACGTCTCTGTTCCCACGCTGAATGAACATTTTTGGAGTGGAGTGCTGGTCCAAACAAACTCGTGTTATTTCTGTTTATCCCTGCTTGTATTGCTTATGATTACATGCATGAATACTTACCCTTTAAGTCCAAATCACTGCTATAACTGGGCTCCCTGTTTAGGAGTTAGGCTGAGCTGCCTGACTCGCTCTGATGTTAGCCAGGTCACTGTGACACTTTTGATATTCAGCTTCTGTGAAATTGCGGGCTTGCAAAGCCCCGTGGTGTCAACAGAGAAACAGGCAGTGATCCGTGTCTGGTTTCACAGCTGGTATCAACATGTCTGTCCCCTGTACGCACAGAGATTAGTGCTCATTTAAAGGAAGGGAGGCTGCCGTCGATGTGCTTTTTGTGTGAAGAGAAGTGACAGATTCAGGTGATAAACAGAAACTCTAGGTGTCAAAGCTGCACAGCGACCGTGTGTGTTGGTCACCCGCTCCTCCGTGCGTCTCTCCCAGGTTGGTTTTGGCCTGGAGCACGTGTCCAGGGAGCAGATCCAGGAGGTGGAGGAGGACCTGGACGAGCTGTACGACAGCCTGGAGATGTACAACCCGAGCGACAGCGGGCCGGAGCTGGACGAGACCGACAGCATCCTGAGCACGCCCAAACCTAAGCTGAGGTACGAGCACTGGCACAGACGCGACATTAATATTCATCCCCACACTCCCGCTTCACCCGCACAGACACTGACGAGCACACAGAGAGGACTTTCATTAACAATTCAGAGCCCCCTCTGTTGGGCGAAGCTGCTCATTACAGCCACAGATTAAAAGCTTGGCATGAGCCAAAACTGGGTCAGTTTTAACTTTGATCAGAACTTTTGAATAATAATTATTTTGCTCAAAAATTCTTCTTTGCATACTTAAACGACACAGAATCGCTGCCCAGTCTGAGTCATTATTTTCAATAACATCAGAAAGCCTCAGAGTGACCCAGAACCCAGAAGTCTTACCGCTGTTACTTGACTTTCTTCTGTTCTGCTCTTTCTTTCTGTCTATCATTAAAAAATAAATGTGTGTTATGTAAGTATCTGAATAAAAAGTTAACATGTGTGTGTGTGTTTGCTCAGGCCGTTCTTTGAGGGAATGTCTCAGTCGAGCTCTCAGACGGAGATCGGCAGCCTGAACAGCAAAGGCAGTTTGGGCAGAGACACGTTCAGCCCGGTGAGTAACTCACTGAAACGCCTCACCTGTTAGAGCGCAGTGAACTCTTCACGAAGGATATCTGACTTTACAACCGGAACGCTTTCAAACCTGTGTCCAAATGCAGCGCTCGCCTCGTTGGTGTAAAGTGAGACCTGTGTTCGTCTCAGCAAAAACTCAAGAGTATTTGTATTTTCTCTACATTGACGTTACCTTGTGGGAAAAAAACTTGATACACAATTTAATTTAGTAGTGTTGGATATACGGTACTGTGCACAAGTCTTGAGCCATCCCTTTGTAGGCTCTACTACTATTGTTACAACTAAAACACGTAATTTGCTGAAAACTTGGCATATCTCAGCACGCTGTGCAGTCTGTCCTTAAATATGCTTCATTCATATTTCAATAAATTGCTGCACATTCCTCATTTTATTAGCCAAACATAAAGAACGTAGGGTTGGCTCAAGATTTCTTGTGAATACTATAACTTCTTCTATTTCTTGGGCCCTTAAGAAGTCATAGTAAAAGTACACGAGAAGCTGAGCGATACGGCATTAACCTAAGATTGCAAAGTGCTTCTAGTGGCAGGATAGCAAAACAATAAAGCTGTAGTAAAACAGTGTGACTAAGTAGCACATAGTACCATAAAGTACGTGAAGAATGCAGCATGAAATGAAGCAAGTAGCATGAAAAACAGCATGCGACTCTGCATTGATGTGCTAAATATCCAGAATCTAAAGCCGGTGACAGTCAGCACGGCGGGGAGCGCAGTGGAAATGTGAAATTTGAAAAATGTTTCACGCTAGCATTTCCTTAATGGAGCAGAAATTCAATAAGTCTTTGACGGTGACCATCTGCTGAATAAAAAGTGTTTAGTCTCTCAGTTTGAATGGATGGCACTGGATGTGCTTCAGGCAGCTCCAGTTCCTCCCTTCATAATGAAATAAGCTTTTAGGTTCTGACTGCTGTTGGGACACTTTCTCAAATATGTGTTTGGAAGATGAAGGAGCTGCTTTCACTTCAGTAAGTAGGTCCTATCTAATTATTTGTGTAGAATGCTTCGTCTGGCCTAAAACGGCAGACGAAAACCAACATCTTCTGGGCGTAACTGCTGTTGAGTTTTCTCCCTGAAGCCGAGAGCCGAGAGCTCTGCTCCTTCTTGTTTACCAAATCTCGAAGCTCATTAAGCCCGTAGACTGACTGCCTCTCCCATCTGTTCCCAGCAGGGGGAGCAGCCTCTTCTGGAGAAGATGAAACCTTCCCGAAGCCGCAACCTGGATGAGATCCCGTCTGAGACCGACACGCTGGTACGACTTTCCTCGTGTGTTTTTAAATGAGTGTCAGTGTGTCAAAGGGGGAGAGTTAATGTTGTGCTGGGATCTTTGTCGGTATCACTCTGAGGCGGATTCGCCGCCATCTGTGCTGCAAGCGAGACAGATTGAGAGAGCAGAAGAAACACAAAAAAGTGGGTGCCAGTATCTCCTTTCTTTGACACTGACAGCCTGTCTGTGGACTGTGTGTGTCTGTTTGTGTGTAGGAGCTAACAGACCAGGAGCTGTTCGCTGAAGTCGGCCCGTGCATCATGGTGTCCGTGGCAGAAAAACCCCGTACACCCATTAAGAGCAGCAAAGGTGAAGCACAGCCGATGGCATCGCCGAGGTAAGTCACCCAAGGCTTAGTCCCAGATACATTTGTTTAGCTGTTTTAATCTGTGCGTTGGCCTCTTTACTAATCAGCTCAGTTTTAGCTTGAGTAATGACCCCTGCCATCTTGTTTTTTAGAGCCAGAATAAATATATGTTTGGACAGAAAGGTGAAAGGTTAAGTGATCAGCAGAGTTAGTGCCAGATTGGATCCCCCAAGTCTGCCAGGAGGGCATTTAGTTTACAAAAAATGTAATGTACGCTAAAGACAATCCTATATCATTATAACTGTACACTGGATCTGCTACAAATTCAGGCATTAACCCCTTCTTTTAATGAACATGCTTACAAACCCTGTGGTTGGTAAATTCTGAGGGCAACTCAGGATCTCTAAGTAAAGCTTATAAAATGAAAGGAAAAATGAGGCCTCAGAGGCGACTATGCTGAAAAATCCTGAACTTCTTATTTCTTGAGTTTGACTTTTTTCCCCACCAGGTTGGATGGAGGCCATACACCAAGGCAGAAGCGCATTAGCACTCCGATGAAGGAGAGACAGCTGTCCAAACCTCTCAGTGAGCGGACCAACAGCTCCGACTCTGAGAGGTCCCCGGAGCTGGGACACAGCACGCCGGTACGACACTGAACGGTTATAAAATCTCATTTCGCTTTAGCTCTTTCCAGGATTTCAGCATCATCGTTTCAACCATGTATACAAAAATAAACCTGCGTATTGTGGTTGTTTCCCACAGAGGAATTAACAAAAAAATCTTCCTTTGTTCTCCGTCTGCTTATGACCCACGCGTTTTTAAAAAAAATAAAACACATGAATTCTGATAATGTACGACCGGCCTGGAGCTCAGAAATGAATTATGTATGTGGTGATGAGTCATCTGAAGAGCAAATGTGTCGCTGTGGGGAGATTTATGTACTCTGTGTGTGTGTGTGTGTGTAGGTTCTGAGGAAAGCAGTGTACGATCAGCTTAACCAGATTTTGTTGTCGGACTCGGCGCTCCCAGAGAGCCTCATTTTGGTCAACAGCACAGACTGGCAGGGGCAGGTAAGGCCTGCAGCTTTCCGTAATAACTTTGGGTGGATTTGGTTCGTTCTTTTTCTTTTTTATTCCTATTTCTTTCCCTTTTTTTTTTTTGACTGCACATCTCCTCTTTCATGTATTGCAGTATGTTGCAGAGCAGCTCCAGGTACAGAGACACCCGGTGGTCTGCACGTGCTCAGCAGCTGAAATACAGGCGGTGCTGTCTGCCGTGCTCACTCGCATCCAGAAGTTGTGAGTTTTTCTGATCGAATCTAACACACACACACACACACACACACACACACACACACACACACACACACACACACACACACACACACACACACACACAGAGTGAGCTAGACTCATTGGTGTGCAGAGTGACTCATCTGTTTAGTCTTTCTTCTTGCTCTGAGCCTTATTTTTCTGACTTCTGTTCTTCCTTTGACCCTTATATATTTTGCTCCTTCTGTTCTCCTCCTCCTTTTTTGCCCCTGTGACTCACTTTGCTTTATAGAAGCAACAAAAACTTTGTCTCCCATATCTGCATCCATCACGTCGGCTTGTCCCTCTGCTTATCACTCTCTCCCACACATGTGGGAATTCTTCTGGTTTGTGTTTGCACTGTTGGCATGAAATTTGCCTGAACATAAAGGAAATGTCATCAGAGCAATAGTTAGAAATATAAAATGATTATTTTGCCTTAAATAATGTGAGTTAGATTGTAGTCTGGGAATAAAAGGGGCTTCATGTTTCTTTTTCTAATGCAGGAGCTGGGACTGAAGTCAAACCCATTACAGTACAGCCACAATAACAGGTTTTATTTAGCTTTCTAGCCATCAGTAACAGTACCTGGAGTGCAACGCAGTGCCTGTATTTCTGCTGTTAAAAACACCTCTGCAGCACATTCATGTATAGAGCCTGGTCAGTGATTATTTAGCAAGTCATGAATACACATCAGTAATAGTACAGAGGACCAGTTCCACAGTCTTAGTGCAGTTTACGCTCTGAGCTGCCATCTTGGATTGTGAAGTTGGAGTTAGATTGGCTTCTCCAGCTTTCCGAGTGGGATAGTGTATCTTGAGAGGGTGTTCTGGCTGAAAATTATTAGGAACTCTGGATTTCTGACTTCCCACTTCAAATGGAATTCAGTATAAAAAATGAAGGGCAATCCACACAGGAAACGTCCTTAAAACTAGAGTTTTCATACACCTGTGTGTACTATGTCCTTTAAAAACGCCCACAGTCTGGGTTCCTGAGCACTGAATGAATTCTCACTAGTTTGATGTGCTTCATCTCAGATGTGCACCAAGGCACATCTGTACATCTGTAGGACACACTGTAATAAGAAATCTATTTTTTTAGGATATTTTCCAATAGAGATTAGGTTGTGTTTCTTAAAACAGGAATGTTCTTAGTATGTTTTGAGACAATGATCAAACTTTTTGTTTCTTGAGTAATGAGTATTTCTCTCTCTCTCTCTTTCTTTTTCCCTGTAGCTGCAACTGTAACTCGTCCATGCCCAGACCAGTGAAGGTGGTGGCGGTGGGCAGCCAGAGCTACCTGGGAGCCATCCTGCAGTTCTTCGTCACCCAGCTCGCCAACAAGACATCTGACTGGCTGAACCACATGCGCTTCCTGGTGGTGCCGCTGGGTGAGAGAGCCTGCTTTTGTCTCCTCCTGCAGAGTCAGACCGCAGCGAAGTTTTACTGCTTTGCAGGAAGTGATGTCTGGTGCACACAGTCACTTGTCTGCATGCTAATTGGACTTTGGGAAATGCTGTAACTTGTTAGTATGTCTTGCTTGTTGGCACATTGGTAGGAGGAACAGGCAGTCGTGTTAGCTCATTAAACTCCTCGATCCTTCCTCCTTCCCGCTCTTTCATTATGTTCATCAGGCTCTCATCCTGTGGCTAAACACCTCGGAGCCCTCGACAATCGCTACAGCTCCTCCTTTCTGGACGGGGCGTGGAGAGACATGTTCAGTCGCTCAGAGCCGCCGCAGACAGGTACCACACGTGCCGTCTCCCCTCAGGACGTACTTCAGCGTTTCGCACGTTTATTCACTTCTCCAATTGTTTTATTTTCTCCTGCAGATCAGTTGGATGTGGCAGGAAGAATTTCCCAATACATCAGCGGAGCTACAGTAACACACCAGCTGCCCATCGCCGAGGCCATGCTAACCTGCAAGCACAGAACGTGAGTACAGATGTCAGCGAACACGCGCCAGATCTTTGATCTTTTAGGTCTTCTTTAACAAACACCGCTCACTGTCCTTTTCCCAGGCGAGATGAAGACTCCTACCAGAAGTTCATTCCTTTTATTGGGGTGAGAATTCTACTCTTGAGTGGGAACTTTTTACCTTTGCTGCTGCTCATCTTCAGGATCTTTGGCTGACATCCCTTCTTGTTTTCCAGGTGGTGAAGGTTGGTCTGATCGAGTCTGGTCAGTCTCCAACAGGTGAGTGTTTGGAAAACGTCAAAAGATGTTAAAAAAGAATTCGATTTAGGGTTTTACGTTATTTCCATTTGGGTTATGAAGGAGATGCAGAGGAGGGTGTAGCAGTGAGCCTCGCTGTCCCCTCCACATCACCACCCTCCCACGGCTCTCCCACCGGGATGATCAAAGAGACAGCCACGCCTCCCTCCTCTCCCTCCATGGGGAGCGTGCTCACAGTTCAAGGGTAAGAGTTCTCTAACATTCATATTTCTTTACAGGATCTTGTAATTATACTGATGTGCTTTAAATCAAGTCCTCAGATGTAGATATTTAAAGAACCGTTTATTTTATTCAGGTTGATTTTCTGCATTTGTGTATGTTTTTCTGTTGATGTCTCAGCTGTCAGCATGCATGTTGATGATGCTGTCAGTACTGAGCTGTGGCAGAGGGATAAATGCCTTTTAATCAGCCGTCTGCTTGTTCTTTAAGCAAACAGGCAGCGAGTTGTTCGTGTTTCTCTGAGATCCTCTTCCCAATCGAGGCTCTCTTTGATGCTTCAGCCACTGAATCAGATGTTTTTTTTGCTGCAGTGCCTCTCTGCAGAGATCACTGATCTGATCTTTTACATTTCGTCCTCTGCAGAAATTTTTTGGGGAGTGTGTTGAACATGATGAATGAAATTCAGCTCTCAGATTCAAGTCGGTCTGCTCATGAAGCTGTTAAATGATCTTACAAATGTGTTTGTGATGTAAAGAAAAGTTAGATGTATGTATGTCTCATAATTGGACCAGAGCAGAACCCCTCACTGCATCTGTGTATTCTGCTGAAACTAAAAACTACAAATAATGTCAGATAAATATGTTAATAATTAAGTTCTTCACAAGTTTGATATGAGAGACCAGAGAATAATAGGAAAGTTCAGTTACGATGCTTTATAGTTGTCACGAAGGGCCTGAGGAAGTCGCTCATGCACGCGCTGTCTGTCCACAGGAGCCCCAGCATGTCCCACGGCGTGGACGCCATCGGCCTGCAGGTGGATTACTGGCTGGCCTCTCTGGCAGAGAAGCGGCGGGAGGGAGAGCGACGCGACACGGGCTGCAAGAACACGCTGAAGAGCGCCTTCCGCTCGCTGCAGGTCAGCAGGCTACCAGGCGGGGGCAGCAGCGATCCACAGGCCCAGGTCAGCACCATGGCCATGACTGTGGTCACCAAGGAGAAGAACAAAAAAGGTGAGGCGTTGCAAATCTGATGCTTTAAATCATTTTTATGATTATGGCTTCACTTGAAACTAAAATTTGTAATATTAATAACGATTGATTAATTTCACTGATTTCTTTCTTACAATGATCCCTGTATTGCATTCAGCACAGACTGAGGCCATATTACATTGTTATCACTAAATAAGTGTTTTTGACTTGCAGGCTTGTTGCAGTTAGCCAGGTTCCCTGCAGACAGGCCCTAAAATAGTTACTGCAAAGCCCTTTGGACAAGTCTTTAAAAGGAATCCCTCAGATCCATGTTCAGAGCGCATACTCTGAGAAGCAGGGTATATATATGTGTCCTCTGTAGTGGGATACTAGAGATTTAAATGCAATTGAAGTAAGCCAGTCTAAATCTAGACTCACACACTGCCACCCAGTCGCCGTCTCCCTCCATCACACAGCACTTTGACTCTGGTGTTTGTTCCTCCCTTCAGTTCCTACCATCTTCTTGGGGAAGAAGCCCAAAGAGAAGGACGTAGACTCCAAGAGCCAGGTCATCGAAGGCATCAGTCGACTCATCTGCTCGGCCAAGCAGCAGCAGACCATCCTGAAAGGTGAGCTGGATGATCGCGAGCAGCTTTGTTTCTTTCCTGCTCACATTGTAGCTTATCCTCACCGTCGTTTCCATCTCCCACCAGTGTCCATAGACTGCGTCGAGTGGAACGACGTCAAGTTCTTCCAGCTGGCCGCCCAGTGGCCCACTCACGTCAAATACCTACCTGTCGGACTTTTCGGCTACAGCAAGCCTCCCTCGTAGGGCCGAGCGCCTCGACTCCTCTAACCGGACCTGACCTTTCGACTGCCCTCCACACAAACCCCACCTCTCAGCCGCCCGCAGAGCTGAGGGAGGACATAAAGCAGCTGGACTTTCTCCTTTTCCTTAATCTCATTTTGGCTTCAGTTGTCTTATTTGTCTTTAGGGAGAGGAGGGAGGGCAGCGCTGGGGTGCAGTGCTGTTACTAGTCACTTTATTATTGCCCCCTTTCTGTGTGTGTTGGTGTGCTCCGTGAGTATGCATGCACACGTGAATGTACAGTATGTGTGTGTGTGGGTGTGTGTGTGTGTGTTTACAAGGGGACTACAGCACAAGATTATTAGCTAACTGCCTTTTATGTTTCCGTTCTATGGAATGCAGCAGCATGCAACCACTCACCGGTTTCAAAGACTGCCCCCGCCCCCCTCAGAAGACCCCCGATCCTCACGTGCATGCTCTAAACTAACAGATACACCAACCATGTGCCGCAAACAAACTCCAAACTAGTGCAACAGCGCCTCAGCGTGTGCACAAGTCACTAAGAACGTGCAGCCAAATAACAAAGCTGGCGTTTAATGGATTCCCCCCCACCCCCCCCCCCCCCCACCCTATGTTAGCAGAAAAAAAAATGCCCTTCAACAAATCCTGTTGGTTTATTTTTTAATTTCAAGGGCTTCCATACTATATCTATATATATATTTCCTCTGTAGGTGATTTGGATGTCTAATGGCAAATATTTCCTCTTAAAAAAACCAAAAAAAAGAGAGAAAAAAACAACAACCTGTAAATGTCAAGTGTCCTTTAAAAAAAAGTGCAGTAGTGAGAAATGTCCAACCCTTCCCTGCAAAGCTGTGTCGTGATGCATAGTGTTTGTTACTGTGAAGAGATCCAAGACATCAGGGCAGGGGCTACCGTAGTGTGCATTTTCTTTCATCTTTATTTGCTATGCACTTACCGTACGATTACACGTGGACCGTTTTGGGTGTTTAACAAAATAACAATAAAGGTTTAACTCTCGTTAACAGCAGAAATAAATACATATGCAACAGAAAGCAGCAAAATGCATGTTTAAACCATCTGAAACTCTTACAGCACTTAACGGGAAAAGCTGTTGTTTTTTCTTTCAGTGTTCGTGCTGTAAAAATGGGAGTTAGTTACTTGCAGTGAAGCACAACGTTGTGGCCGATGTCTCCCCCCCCCCACCTGAAAAAAAAAAAACCTGTCTTCATTTTATTGGCTAGACTGGCAGCTTTGTTTTCAGTGGGAACAGCAGACCTGGTGGAAACTCTCACAGAGCGTGCTCGTTGTCTTTCGGCTCCTTACTGACCTTTTTTCGTTGTTGTTTGTTTTTGCCTCTCCACTACACGCTTTCTCTAGGATGTCATGAGGTGATTAGTGAGTGTACAGTAACTGGTAACAAGTGTGTGTTTGTGTGTGTGTGGTGTGAAATACATGTAATGTGATCAGAAACTTTAAAAAAAAAATCACTTGAGAGGAGGAATTGTTTTTTTACCATGTGACAGAGGGCATGCAGCTGGTGTGTAAGTGTGCGTGTGTGTTGATGTCAGTGACTATTCGATTAGAGCTGCAAAAGCTGCAGTGGTCATCTTGTTCACTTTGTAGACTGGCACAAGGCGAATACAGTTTGTTTTTCTTGATTAAACAGTAAAAATTGGACAAGCTTGAAGGTTAACTGAACTTTTAATGACAGAGGGAACCATTGGAGCTAAAATCTAAGAATGTTTGTGGATTTATAAGTTGTTTTTAATGATTCTGCCTTGTGTCACCTACATCGTAACACTCTCCAGTGAAGTATTACTAATACAGCTTTTTTAAAATAGTGTTAATGCCAATTTCTTGGTTTAAATGACTTTTTTTTGGTTTGTTTGAAAGTCGATCTCAAAGTGTTTTTTTTTTGCTTCTTTTTCTCCTGTGTCGGCGTTTAAAGTGTTACAGTTGTGATGTCGGCGGCACATGTCCATCTCTGTTTTTCCTCTCCTGTTACACAACGCTTCGCTAACGAGTGGTCACCGCCGAGCAAACACTCAGCTAGCTGCGGATTGATTTTTTTTCTTTTCTTTTTTCTTTTTTTTTTTAGGGATTTCAAAAAAATTTGAATGTATTGACTTCAGTTTACGTGTGAACGACTGATTAGTTTTGTTAAGACAGTAGAGATCACAGACTTTTAGAAATGAGGCTCCTCTTTTTCCTCGTGATGACAACCACTGAAGGCCCTTACAGACAGAGAGCTGCCTTACATACAGTATGTCGGGTTTTAGGGTTCCTGGATGATGGACTGTGGTTTGACGTAGAGGTTGCTCGATCCAAACTAAAAACAGGAGGTTTCATTCCACTACTAATTCCTTTAAAAGATACTGGCTTAAGCGTAAAATGCTGCATTTGCTGAAACAAATCAAAGACCTTTGCTAAGAAAATAGAACAAACTTTTAGTACTACTTTAAAATAACCCATATATACAGAGACTTTACAGTTTATTTACTTCATTCAAATGAATCTAAGGTCCAGAACTGAGCTGCTGCACCGCTTGAAGGAAACAACCTTTGGGTCACACCAGCTTGTGTTTCTGTGAAGTATCCTTTAGATTAAATCTGGATTTTTTTTAAATCAATCAATCAATCAATCAATCCTCCTGGAAACCGAGAGGAGAAACTTAAGCGTCAAATAAGAGTTGGTGGAGACCAACACTGAGCTAAAAGCATATTCTGTTGTGTCCCCCCCTTTAGAAACTAAAACAGTTCCCACTCCACATTTTAACTCCTTCCAGTAAAGTCAGCCAGAGTTGAGTTTCTGCATCGTTAGGTCAGCAAAATAAGAACTGTGAAAATAATGATTAAAATACTAGATACACTATATGGACAAAAGACCTGAGTCAGCTACATGTTACACATGGAAACGCATGCTGTGAAGCTCCCGGCGCACAGTTTTTGTGCTGATGTTAATGTCTATGCCATATCCCTCATCGCTCGGTGACCCCACTCTGTAACTTTATGTGGTCGGGAACTTCGTGGATAAGTTGCCATGGTTACTCCTGTTTAGTAATAGTACTTACAGTTGACAGTGGGATATTAAAGAGGGAAATACTTCAATGGTGGCACCCTGTTACAGCACCTCACTCAAATTCAGTGAGCTCTTTGCACCCGCCCATTCTTTCACAGATGTTGTAAAGGCAGACTGTCTGGCTAGATGAATGATTTTTGTGGCAACGGGTCTGAAAACAGTTGAATTCAAACATTAGGAGGTGTGTCTCAATACTTTTGTCCATATAATGTATATTAGGACTCAGTCAATGAGGCAGTGGTTCTTTTCCCCACTACATGGCAACCTCAAAACTATTTGCTAAATGTATGAACTCGTAGTGTTGAAATAGTAGGTTTTTCTAACTTTAGTATGGAAGTGTGGTACGGCATTTTTAAATTTGCGAAATTTGTACAATATTTGGAACGAAACCTTCAACTTTTTAATGTAAATTGTAGCTGGGCTCGAGTATCTGCTGTTGGAAGAGACCTCTAATTGAGTCAAAATGCTCTTTGCCTTGTAGTATTGTTAGTCAAATTATTGCAATGATGCGATTTCCTGAAATTAAGCGTAGTCTTGTCATGCCTCTTCAACTTGTGCGCTCAGAGGGAGATCACTGAAACTGAGCATTAGAGGTATTAAAAATCACTGCCAGAAACTAAAATGTGAAGAAATTGTGAGACTATCCAGAGATATGTAGGTTTTTGGTGGATGCTGATAGCCTGAAAACACCCTACATTAACAACAAAGTGATCCTTGTTTTGAAGTTATTGCATTGTCAACACAGTCTCATTCCTTATCACCTAACAAAAACTGATTTCACCCCATTTACATGTTCTCCTGCCGTCTCTCTGAACAAGCTGGTTGTTCTGTGTGTGTAAGTCCTGAAAGTGTTGCTGTGTATTTCTTTTTCTTTTTTTTTTTTTTAATACCTGTACCTCTGTACCTGTGTCAATGTGTTTGTGACGATGGTTCTTCTGTCCTTGACTAGTCGTGGTTAGAGATTAGGAGCTGTTCGGTCCATCAGTAATCTGTCAGTGGTCAGCAGTGTCTTTCTCTCTCTGCCATCCTTCTGGTGATGAGAGAGTCTTCTTCTTCACCAAGCCTCCACAAGCTCACCTTTCTGAGAGCATGCCGTTACCCCCTCACATGTTTTAATTTAATTTAATTTTGCCACCTGTCTTCATGAAAATGTGAGTTACCTGTGAAAGCAGTAGATTTCTACCCGACCGAGGTTCTGCTCAGAACAGAGCGCCCTGAGCTTGTGGACTTGTGAAGAGTATTTTGCACATACCATCATTTCTTCAGCAGCAGTCTTCAGCTTTTTTGCCTTTTGCCTATAACAATACTATAAGAAACAATGATGCTTGTACATATCAGAATAGTACTTGTTATATTGTATTCTTTATTTTTTTGCTTTTGTTTTTTTTAATTTGACATGTTTTGTAGTACCGCTTTTTTCATGATTACGTTTGTCAATCAAACAGATGTGGGATGAGAAGTGGAAGTGTTTCATTGTTTCATTGTTTTTTTTAAATAAAGATATTCTTGATTTGTAGCCCTGTCTCCTCTTACTGGACTACAGATGTGTGCTTGTACTACAGCTCCATACAGCTTATTTCTGAAGTGGAACAAACTGATGCAGACACTGTAGGCTGTCTGGATAAATATCACTTAATATGTGCTGCTCAATGACGCAAAATTGCAGAAATAATGGGAACTTTACTAATTATAGTCTTTGTTGGAGAGTAAAATCAGATTTCTGATGAATACATAAAGTGTAAAAAGTATAAATTAAGCTTAGCACATGATACTTATGAAACAAGGCAGCGGGTCCTGTGGATGGAGGATGCTGGTGACATCATCGGACAAAGAGCTTTAGCAAACCAAGAGAATTATATCCAAACTTCTGTTTTGTAAATAGTCTACGAGTTTTAAAAATTCATTATTCATATCAAGTGTTTGTATTGTTGTTGCTTTTATTTTTTAAAACAATCTTTTATCGTAACTAATCATCTATATAAAGATGTCGCCGAGTGAACGTTTTACAATAAATAATAATAATAAACTTTATAAAGCACACTTAAAAACCAAGGGTATGCCAAGGTGCTTAACATGTAAGATAGAGAATAGGAGCAATTACGTTTTCCTATTTTACCTTAATGTTACTAAACAATACCATGCAAATAGCATAATAATTTACACCATGTCAATTTAGGTTATTATATTAAATAGAGTCTTGAGGGAAACTGAAAAATTCAGACGCTCGGATGTTGCGAGAGCGACAACTCGACTATACGCATGCGCAAGATGTATTCCCCGCCTTGACTGAAAAATGTCGAACGTGAATCATCTTAGTGCTTTTTCAATCTTTGGTTGGGGTCTCTGGGAACTCAGCCATTTCGTTTTCTCTGTCAAATTTTGAAGCACATCCACAAAATAATCAGTTTTATGCCGAATAAAGGTTCAGTCGCTTATACTGTGAACACCGAGGTTAAAGTTAAAAACACAGCTAAATATTAGCTGTGTCCACCCCGTCATCTACTGTCAAGTGACAGCTGGGTAAGTTAAAGTGAAGAAAAACGTAAACAGCAGCTAGCCAAGGTGGCTTTTAGCTCAGTTAAACTTGTTGCCGTAATCGCATTAAAGTAAACTCAGTAGCGTGCGCGAGCTATTTCGGTTTATCTACAAATAACTGCAGGCGTGTTAATTCAACAAAGCAGGTGTGCTAGCGGCAGCTCTCGTCACCCAGCAGTCTTCAAAGTAAAGCTAATTTTAATTTAATGGCTGCTTTGTGAAGTGAATTTTAGAAAAACAAGCGGACCGTGTTTTCGTGTATTAGTACAAGTTGCTCAGCGTTGAGAGAGCACTCTCCGTTTCGTCCTTGGATGCCGTTATCTTCCCATTGCCACTTGTCTAACTGTAAATGGAGTTTTATTTTGAAAAACCGGCACCGGACGCTTGTTCGTTTTGGTAAACTTGACGCGGGTCTGTCCGGAGCATCACAACATTGTGCTGCCGCTTTGTTCGAGGCTCTGTAATTGCTGCGTTTATCTTCGATGAAGGTAAAACTGAGGATAAATAATAATAATACTTGCACTACGGTGCACTTAAACGGTCAGAATAGATTGTAGTTTATGTTGCATGAGGGCAGTTTGTCGGTATATTTGTAGCAGTGGGACGGCCAGGTCGATAAATCTGTCGCTAGAAATGAAGCATCGCTCTTTACGTGGTGTTTGTTGCGGGATTATGTGTGCATATTGTAAATAATGCAGCCCTGCGTGTGCTGATGATGATAATGATATAATAATGATACGCATCTCTGTGTTGTGTAACACCTTGGAGGATCGGGCCTGCACTGTTTACAAACAGGCTGCATGTCGGGACCAGACACATCAACACGTTTTCAGCGATGGACAGGCATTTATTTGGCCTTATGTTCATCGTCTGTTGTAGCTTTATGCTTTTTGAGCAGTGCTCTCTGCTGTCGGTCACCTTCACTGATCTGCCGACTTCCTCCCCGGCATTAGGCCTCGGCCATCCACCGGCTCCTGCCTTTATTCATGGCTCTGAAGGGTTTAATTCAAACGTGAGGGGTGTGCGATCGCGATCATTTCCTGCTGCCGCTCGTTTGTCCGCCCGCACAGTTAGCTCTGTTCTTCTGCATTTGTGAAGCGGTGGACTTGAAAGGAAGCGTGAATATTGGTGCATTGCAGTCAAGTGTATGAGGCAAGATGGGAGGGGGTGGGAGAGGAGGATGGGTGAGAGAGGAAGGGAGGGAGCAGGAGAGGAGAACAGAACAGGTGCGCCTCCTCCATCAAAGCTGGGAGAGAGAGAAAGTCACGATGTTGCACATTTGGCTCCTCTGACGACCTCTTTCTCCTCCTGCTGCGGCTGCAACCCTTTCACTTACATCTGGTCAATATGGAGACAGTGCGCATGCTCAAGGCGGAAAGTCGCCGTTTACTGTGCCAGAAGTGGCCCACGGTTTGGATATTGGACTTTGTAAATGTTATCTAAATATTAATACGCAGCATGAATGTTTCTCTTTTCCTGGCTGGAAGGATTCACAGTGCACACGTGTATCTGCCAGGCTCATCGTGGACATGACTAATCATGACTAATGATTTAAAGACCATATAGCACTACATTTACTGTGAGTACTCCCAGAAGATCAGGAAGTCAATTTAAAGATCTGCCTTTAGGTTGTGAGAGATCAGTTAAAGTTGTAAATGTATGATTGAGAATTACAGGAAAGAAGTTTGATATTCTGAGATTTAAAAAAAAAAGTAAAAATACATAAATGTATTAGGAAAAAACATAAAAATTACTGTAAAAATACACTTTTCTAAAGGTTAGAGCTGTGAATATGTGAAGAAAAAGAAAAGATGGATGTTCTAAGAGTAAATTGGTTAGTTTATTATCTGGCATACATACAAAGAAAAAATATGCTCCAATGTTTTTTTGTATTAAAGATGTAAATTTATGAAGGGCAGAAAAATTCCAACTTAAATAACAGAATTTTTCTGAGGTTAAAGTAGCAAAGTTACACTAAAAAGTAATCTTTTTTTAGAGATAAAGATGTAATTGGAGAAGGAAACTCAAGTTTAAAGTCTAATATTCTCTGAGGCTATAATTTGATCCATTTGCTGGCTTTTTAAGAGTCTTTTACTTATTTGTATACAATGTATGAATCCAATTTCTAACCTACGACTGCTCAGTTATGCTGCTACAGATGTTGGGACATTTGTCTTAGTTTAAAATAACATTTCATCCAGATGTCCGTCTGGCTCTAAATCCGACGCCGCTGTGATAATCGTTGCCCCGCCCTCACAAGGTTAGCTTTGTTCACTGATCACTTCTCCTGTTAATTGGATTTGCTGGTCTGTGTTTGTTTCAGGCTAAATTTACTTTAATTATCCGTCCAGTATACAATCTCACAGACAACCTTTCTCTTTCTGTCTGATGTCGGGAAGCTTTTATACAGCATGCCTTCTGTTCATAACAAGACACGCTTGTGCTGCGTGGTTTTTGTTTTTCATCCATCTCTTTTAACTCCATCATTTACAGGATGATGCCAAACAGGAAATGAATCTCAGGAACAGTCCCTTCATTCGCGTTGTCAGTGTTTCTCATTTTGTTCTCCTCATTACTTTTGTTTGCGCCACATCATGTCCTTAAGTGTTTCCGGTGTGGTATTTCTCATTCATGAGCAGGTGGATAGAGGAACTGTCGGCAGCGCTGGGTTTGAGTCATAATATTACTCCACTATTTGTCTCATCTTTTGTGTCATTATGTCCTCACGCCGCAAATTAATCATCGCTCGTTTCTGTTTCTTTGCCACCTTCTGTGGCAGGATGTGGTTACACTGAACACCTAATGTTTTGAGGGTTTCAAGCAGGGCAGAATGTGAATCAGAAATGTAAGTAAATGTAGGTTTTCCTTCCCTTTTCTCACAGTGTGTGTGAAACCTGGCAATGTCCACCATGGTGTATCCACGTGAAGAAGCCCTGGAGCGACTGAGCCAGGATGAGATCGTCCTTAACACTAAGACCGTCATGCAGGGTCTGGAGACGCTACGTGGCGAGCACGCCCAGCTCCTAAACTCTCTGCTGGACTGCACCCAGCCACCTGTTGCACAAGAGAAGTCGGGGCTGCTGCGCAAGAGTCTGGAAGCCATTGAGCTGGGTCTGGGAGAGGCACAGGTGAGAGACAGACACTTAGGTTTTTGACGTTTACACTGAATTGTACACTGAAGTTCACACTCTATTGTGAACCTAATACAATAGGATGCTTTTATAAGGGTTTTTTTTTTTTTACAAAGGCAATAAACAGGACATCTTGGATCGTCACTAGGCGGCCTGATGGCTTTGTGATATATCATGCATGAAAGAAGCTTTGTTGATATAAATGAAGTCTTTTGAAACAAAAATTATACGATCCTTGTAAGGTGTGATTGGTGCATACATGCTGAACGCAGGTCGTTCTAACCTGTTGCTAGGCAGCATCTTAATATGTGATATAGATAAGAACCTCCTAATGTGTATCTGTGGACCAAGGTGTTTGTTCACCTCTTGATCATGTGGCAGAGTTGGTGCACAAAGAAACAAACAAACAGATATTTTTGTGATTTTTACAATTTCCTTTTACACCAGGTGATCATCGCCCTGTCCAGCCACCTGAGCGCCGTGGAGTCGGAGAAGCAGAAGCTGCGCGCTCAGGTGCGCCGCCTCTGCCAGGAGAACCAGTGGCTGCGGGACGAGTTGGCTGGAACGCAGCACAAGCTGCAGCGCAGCGAGCAGAGCGTCGCCCAGCTGGAGGAGGAGAAGAAGCACCTGGAGTTCATGAACCAGATCAAGAAGTTCGACGACGACGTGTCGCCCTCCGAGGAGAAGAACCAGAGCTCGGGCGGCAGCACAGGCGGAGACGCTTCAAAGGATAACCTGGATGACTTATTCCCTAATGATGATGACCAGGGACCAGGTATGACATCAGCAGAGAGGCCTTAATGGGATGACTCATTTTTAAGATGAGTACATTGGGATTTTACTGATGAATTTGTGCTCAAGCCAGTCAAAGCCTCACATAAAGCTGAAATCTGTCATTTAATACAAGAATGATTCTGAGAGGCGCACATGTTATGTAGGGATTGTTTGTTTTTGGCTCCCATGTGACCAAGACAGTTTGAATGAATTATGATATAACGATTTGATGAGGTTAATCATCGGTTCACAGTACAGGCTGTCCACGGCCCAGTTTAACAGAGAGAGTGCCGAATGTGGTACACCACAGGAAGAGATAACTGGTAGCTCACTGGGTGTTCAGTCACTGTGCAGCGTTCACCTATGCACATGTAATGATGACCGACCACAAGCCGCCTTGTCTGATCTACTCATGCTGCAGCTACTTCAAGGAAACATCTGGCATGCATACACATGTGAGTTAAGAGTGGGCAGACATTTTATTTTAGTTTTACAGTTTTTAATCATTGCTTTATTTTTTATCTTAATAATATAGCACCTGTAGCCCTGAAGTCTGAACTGCAAGTCATTTAAATAGTTCAAACTTCTGTGCTATAGGTTTTTTAGCAGCTCTTCAACACAGCACATACAAAGATAAATCAGTTGTGTCAGTGTATGCAGCGTCTTTAGCTTTCCTGCAAATTAACCACACGCTACGTGCTGAACCTTCATTCGCTCTTACAGTGAAATATACATTCAGCCATAGTCTGAATGGCTAGTTAGCGTTCAGCAGCAGCAAGAGCATAACAAGCAGGAGAGAGGGTAGAGAGTACAACACATAGCTTTTAAAAGGCTTTATCTACTTTTTGGAGAACATGACTATCATCAAATTATATAAAGGAAAAGAAAATCTTGTTACAGAAGCTTCCTCCATTTCCTGCTGGAGTGCTGATCACTACAGCAGATCTGACTTCATGTTTTTTATCCACCATATGTTCTGCTTGGATCTGACAGTAACTTAGTTACTATTTTTGAAAACTGATGGAGTACTGAACAAATAATTCATCTGAGAACTTCATGTAACGCTTTAAAAACTTCTAGTAGGTAGTTTTGCTTATTCTCGACCATGCTGTGCTTCGTGTCACAGCCCAGCCCAGTGGAGAGGTGGCAGCCCAGCAGGGAGGCTACGAGATCCCGGCGCGCCTCAGGACGCTGCACAACCTGGTGATCCAGTACGCCTCTCAGGGGAGGTACGAGGTGGCTGTGCCGCTGTGCAAGCAAGCCCTGGAGGACCTGGAGAAGACATCTGGGCATGACCATCCAGACGTCGCCACTATGCTCAACATTCTGGCTCTGGTGTACAGGTGGGGGCTTGAGAGTGTGGACGCTTTTCATAAACTATTCATTGTTGTAAAATAAAGCCTCTGAACACAGCGCCATGGGTCTGTGCTTTGTGTTTTGTGCTCCAGGGACCAGAACAAATACAAAGAAGCCGCTCATCTTCTGAATGACGCTTTAGCCATCAGGGAGAAGACACTGGGGAAGGACCACCCAGCTGTGGCTGCAACCCTCAACAATCTCGCTGTATTATATGGCAAGAGGGGCAAATACAAGGAGGCTGAGCCTCTCTGCAAGAGAGCACTGGAGATCAGAGAGAAGGTACAATTGCAGTTTTGTTCATATTTGTGTTTTAGCAACTGAATCACCTTTTGATATAAAGGGTACATAAGCAGACAAGTTACCCAGACAGTCTCCATGTGGTCACGTGATTGTAGTTTGTTTTGCAAATGTGTGGTTGTCTCACTGTTGTAACCAGGTGCTGGGGAAGTACCATCCAGACGTGGCTAAGCAGCTGAACAACCTGGCCCTACTGTGTCAGAACCAGGGCAAGTACGACGAGGTGGAGTACTACTACGGACGAGCCCTGGAGATCTACGAATCCAAGCTCGGAGCTGATGACCCCAATGTGGCCAAAACCAAAAATAACCTGGTGGGAACTTAATTTGCACTACAGACTGTAAAGATAGATGTAGCGTCAGGGTGTAAAATGGCCAGCAGGGGGCGACTCCTCTGGTTGTAAAAATGTGTCTGGTTCTGTAAAGGTCTTTGGGAAAACTCCCCTGCTGTTCACGTGATTTAAGACGGTAGTAAACGCTGCCCTGATGAGCTTCTGGTCTCAGACACGGGATTAAAGTCTGAACATCGTGTCGCATTCAGTAATTTTTTTATATTTTCCCTTCAGAGCCAAAAAGGAGGATAAAGAAAATATTGATTTATGTTTGATTGACAAGCTGCTGTCTTATGAGCGTCCTGTGTCAGTCAAAAGGACAACAGCTAAGCGTTCACCTTGGGGCTTCTCACTGGGACCAGTTAAAATCTAATGTTGGCTATGCCCATCTTTTATATACAGTCTATCATTTGAACACCCTTCTGCCTCTTCACTGTTTCACTACCTTTATAGTTTTTTTCCCCTGTGACTATTTCACCTATTTCTAAGATATTTTATTGATCTGATCAGGATTGTCGGTGCTTCCTGTTTCTCTTTAGGCCACATGCTACCTGAAGCAGGGGAAATTTGCAGACGCTGAAGCTCTGTACAAAGAGATTTTGACCAGGGCGCACGAGAAGGAGTTTGGCTCTGTCAACAGTAAGTAGAGCCAACAGGCAAACAGCTGAGTCACACTGAAGTGACTGTATCAGATCCTGCTGGTCACAGAGTTACTCAAATTGCCAGGACTGGGCAGAGAGGAGCAGGCTGTGAGTCAGGCTCAATTTACATCAGAAGTCTTCCTGTTAGCCTTGTTTTTTTAGATTCAGGCTGTGGTTTGGTCACACCCTGACGGCCGCATCGCTCTGAGTTCTCAGCAAGTCAGAGGATTACACTGAAGCTCGCAAAGCAGCTTAATGCTGATGGTTTCCTCCCGCCTATCCAGCTAAGTCTATCAAACCCTTATGTGCTCACATGCTCAGCACGAGAGCGGGCTTTAGCTGGGTTTGGTGAGTGACAGCTGCTTGTTTACATGAAATCAAATGTGTTTACATAGACAGAGAGGCATTACCTCAAACTAAAAATGGGTAATTTCAGGATTTTGGTCATTTTTCAGGACAATTAAAATACTTTTTAAACTCAAATCCAACTCCATGCTGTATTTCAGGACTCTAGACAGTTCCTCCTTAATCATAACTATTATTTCCCTTTTAACCCAACGTTTTTTTATTTGACTGCAACTGCTTTTGAAGGGCAGCCATGGAAAATGTGCCTGAAATGACCAAATTACAGACCATATTAGAGGATATCCAGCAGACTGAAGTGTCATTCATAGTTATTGGGTTATTTTTATGATTTTAACAGTGCAGAACAATAAAAAGCATCTTAAGTCCTCTTCAGTGTGGGTTTGGTGGCCCACACATGATGTTCTTGTATAAAAAAAGTAATTATGTGATATTTCTGCCTGTTGCAGATGATAATAAACCAATCTGGATGCACGCTGAGGAAAGAGAAGAGAGCAAGGTAGGCAGGCAACACATACAGTGGGTATAAGGACAAGGTTTTTTTGTTGTTTTAACTTGCTGCCTATCTGACCAGCATTTTGTACTTGTCTCCTCCTGCTTTCTGACTCGTTTAATATTAATCTGTGTCACTCTTTCTTTCAGGGCAAACGCAAGGACTCAGGCCCATATGTAGAGTATGGGAGCTGGTACAAGGCCTGCAAGGTGGACAGGTAAATCAGACATTTAGATCCACTGGAAACAGGTCAAAGTCTAAACTGTCTGATCATGTATGTGACCTAACTGTGAATGTCTACCAAGGGAGGCTAATCTGATCTGATGGCCTTTTTGTCTTTTTAAAAAGATGAAAAATGGTAACACAGAGGAACAGAACAGGGAAACTATCATCACCAAAAAGGAAGGGAAACAAAGCTCATTACAAATCTATGTTTGCCTCAAAAGACTAGAAGTTAAACCACTGACTTTATCAGTCTGTGGTTCGTCATTCTTCTAGTTTTATAGTAGAAACGGCACATTTCCATCCCTTTTGTTTGAGGAGCAGATACTTTGCAGACTGTGTAACAGTAAACTTCTCAAAGCAGCAGAGAGTGTTTGCTTTGTGGTTCAGTTTGGGAAAGGTCTAACGCTTGATTGTTTAACCCTGATTGATGGATTAGGTTACTTTTAAAAGATCTAAAGAAAAAAAAAGCTGGATTTCTTTCTTTCTCAACAGCCCAACAGTGAACACAACCCTCAAAAGCTTGGGAGCTTTGTACCGTCGCCAGGGCAAACTGGAGGCCGCAGAAACACTGGAGGAGTGCGCCAGCAAGTCACGCAAACAGGTGCAACAGGAACCCTCTCGACGACGGCCGTTTGGCCGTTTGAATTACCGCCTTTAGATTAGTCATCTGGGCTCTTTTCAGGGATTTTTCAGTTAAGCGAGCGGATTTGTTCAACAGGCATTCCAGCTACGATTTATTGGCTCATAAACTGTGTGCCAAAGTGATTTAAAGATCAGTCGTACTAATGTTTGCACATAGTAAAGAACACATGCTGCGTCTGCTGTTGTATAAAAGGGTTTTTTTTCAGGCCCTTGCATCACCCTTGTCTTTATTTTCCTCTCTCAGGGTATTGATGCCATTAACCAGAGTAAGGTGGTGGAGCTGCTGAAGGACGGAGGCTCTGGGAGCGACAGACGACACAGCAGGGAGGGAACGAACGGACCTGGTGGACAGAGAGGGGAGAACGAGGGCGACGACTCGGCTGAGTGGAACGGGGTAACATAAGTTTGGAAGCTAATAAAGTAGCAGTATGTGTTCACATTGACTGGATGTGACTACAGCGTAAACCACAGTGTGAATAATTTCATAAAGTACTGTGGAAATCCTTGTCTGTGAGTCTGTTCTAGCGTGCCTTAAAGGAGGTGTTTTTCTAAAGTTTTACTGTTGCACATCTCGCCCTCAGGATGGTAACGGGTCTCTGCGCCGCAGCGGCTCCTTCGGTAAGATTCGTGATGCTCTGAGAAGGAGCAGCGAAATGCTGGTGAAGAAGCTGCAGGGCAGCGGTCCTCAAGAACCCCGCAACCCAGGGTAAGACTACTGCAGCTGTGCAGTCAGGTTATAGTTATGGTTACTTCAGTTTTTCTTCTCGCCAGTCCAAATTACATTCGCACTTCAGTTCCCAAAGCTAAAAGTACATCTTCAAAAAATTCAGACCAATTATAACACTGTTCAAAACTGAAACATACGAAACTGAAACAAAGATGAACATCGTTGAACACACAGGACGTTGAAGCACAAGGATGATTCTCATAATGAATGTGCAAGCAGGAAATCTGCATCAACTGTGTGATGCTGTTGTGTCAACATGAAGAAGTAATGAGTCATGTTTCCAGCACGTTGTTGAATTGAGGCAGCTCTGAAAGAGAAACGGGGTCCAACCTGGTACTATAAAGGCGTACCTAATAAAGGGTCCAGTGGGTATATAGTTGAGTATAACATTTACAATTGAGCATGAAGGTTGCGTGACCTTGTAAATAAGATCCACGATGAAGCCTTAATTGCTCGGGAACCATGATGGGTGGTCTGCCTTGTCCATTCCTAAATATTACTCAAATCACTCAGTTTTGTAAAAACACTTTCTGTCTTTAACTCATTACTGAAGTTTGTGGTTTGAGTTCACTGGTAATCGTGTGTTTCTGTACAGAATGAAGAGAGCCAGCTCCCTTAACTTCCTCAATAAGAGCACCGAGGAAACCACACAGGTACTTTATTCCTCACAGCTGCAATTTCACTCAGGAAATTCTATCTTTCGAATTAAATATCGAGTCCAGGTGATTGTCTGTTACCTGACAGAATATGCACAGCGTTTCCTAACCCAAATACTAACACGACCTGATCTGCCTGCAGGATGTCAACTCTGGACTCTCAGACAGCAGGGGGCTAAGCGCCAGCAACGTAGACCTATCCAGACGCAGCTCCCTGCTCGGCTAGACCGGAGACGGGAGGCAGAAGCGGCCCGAGGAGGAGAGGCTGTTTGCAGCTCGGTTTGGTCCAACTACACACTTAAAGCTCAACGCCAGATCAAACACTTTGCGCCTGCAGCATATTTTTTTAAAGAACACTGGGGAGGAGGGAAAGCATTAGCTCCACACTCGAGGTCGTCCTCTGAGACGCCGCTGATTCGCTGTATAAAACGCTGCCATCGATCAGAAAAGAGAATATTTAGATACACATTTACGAGCATGCTGCTTACTAGTTCGTGGAACGTCTGCACCTGAACGCCTCGTGTTTTTTCTGGGGGTTTTTTGGGGTTTTTTCCACTCACAGCACCGTAGCAGAGCATCGTGCGTTATGACAGGTCGGTTCCTTCAGTCCAGATCTCTTATGTGCAGAAACTCAACCTTAGGTGGGCTAATTATAATCCAGGTCCAGTCCAGTTTCACCAGTAGCATGAAGTAGACACAGACACTAACCATCCACCTGAAGCATATTGCAGATGGTAAAAACGGTACTACCTGAAAGATAGAGCAGAGGTGTAACAAGAGGATACAAGCATCATTAGCACTAACCATTTCAACCTCACTTTATGCCTTTTTTATGTAAATACAGATTTAAATTATTTGGTATTTGATTCTGTGTGTATAGTGCACTGATTTATTTCTTTGTTTGTTTGTTTACACTTTATTTCTGGTAAAGAGGGTCTCATTTAGAAGTAAAACACTACCTGTATGAAGGGCGGAGACTGGAGATGAAGGAAAAGAATGGAGTGATGTGAAGGTGAAAGGTTAATGGGCATTGGTTGATTGTATCCGTGACACTAAATGTTGATAAATGTATTACCTCAACTGTTCATGTCCGATACCAAGTCGTCAAAGTTTCACTATAATCGTGTGCTTTAAATGTGACAGTACTGTATTTCTAGCAACAATCTTGCGATCTACTGAGCATACTTTGATGGGAAAGGTTATTCATTTCCACTGGATTGGGTTGTGACAGCGTTTGGGGGCAGAAACTGCAGTTTTTCATGAGTCAAAAGACAGAAAACGGGACAGAAAATTCATTTGAGGAAAGATTTTTTTTTTTTTTTTTTTTTTTAATTTTTGGGGGTTCACATCCTCTAAAATGATGCCGTTGCGTTCCTAGTGACTTAATTTAAAGTCACGTTAAAAGAGCTTTTAGGGGTCGTGCGTAATCCAGGACATACTGTTTCATGTCCCATGTCCTATTTTGCACTGCAGGTTTAGGAAAAGATCATGTTTTATGTTAAAATTCTGCCTTTCATAGCATTTCTGTTGGGGAAAAAAAGTCCTTTACAGGAGTCCATGTGCGATGAGTTGACTCTAAAACGGCAGTATTTGACTCCTCGGTGTCCCTGAAGCCTCAACAGGGAGTTTAATCAAAGTTTGTTTTGGTACCTTTTACCTGAGCTTCATGCGACTAAATAATAAAGAAAATTTGATGTTTAAAAATAATGTGTTTACAATCATTACAGCAGGATATTGAAGTGAAAGTGTCTTTTAAAGCTGTGGGTAACCCTCTTAATTATTTGATCAGAGCTGATGCAGCCCATCAGCTGATGTGTTTACTGTCATTCCTCTTGTGAGTTTGTTGTAGTTTTTTCTGTATTTACTGTTGTTGAATGTGCATCATTTTGTGCAAATCAGTCCTTATTGTTACATTTCTTTATTTCTTTTTTTTTTCTCCTGGGTGGATCAGTCATCAGTCGTAATCAAACCCTCGCAGGGAGCTGGCTGATGGTGGTCCGTCCTCGCTGACTTTTTTTGTTGTTCTGAAGCGATTTTTTTGTTTTGGCTCTGAGCTTTTATGTCGACGGTACAAACAGCTGGTTATTTGAATGTTGATTTTTAATGTTGATTGTGCGGGGTCTGGTGGATTGTTGTTGTTTGCAAGCCAGGACGCTACTATCAGGAGAACTATCCGCCGAATGTACTTCTTATCACGTTAAAGCAAAATTAGGGTCAGCAAGTGATGTTACACCCTCAAGTTTTTCCTTGACTTGACTTCATGACGAGAAAGTAAACGAAAAGGTGAATGTGAGTTCTAAAAAGGTGAAGGCAGGTTCGTGTGAGGCTGTTTTGCCATCGCCACGCAGCTACGGAAACCGAAGGCACGCTTTTTTTCTTTTTAATTTTTAATTAGCCTTCGATCTCTGAGTGGCGCTAAGTTTATCCTGTCTGCTTCAGAACGTGCGTGATGGTTTAATGAACGGAGGAAAGGAGGCGTACCGAAAGTGCAGGACGGAGTTAAAAAGAAGTGAGTGGAAGAGCTTTGGAAAGACGCTGGAAAAACATAAAGTGCTTTAAGTGTTGTTCACAGCAAATAATGTACAGAGTTATACATGTATGACCTTTATATACGCGTTTACTGTTTGTCACTTATTCACTCATAAGAATGATGGAAGATTCCTATAACCATACACACAATCTCAACACTGTCTAACTGTATGTGTGTGTTTATGTGTATATACATATATATTTAAAAATCAAATGGTGAAACACTAGTTTGTAGCTGAAGATCCAGTAAAGATCAGTGCTTCTTTCCAGTACACACCATCATATCAATACTTACCAGTACTGTAAGGTATTAATCATTCACTTCTACACCCTGGGTCGGTGCAGTGTAATAACTGGGATTTCAGGAGATGCAGACTCCTTAAACATGTCACCGCTAATGCACTATTTTCTCATGTGGGAGAACAAAACTGCTACGGCTGTAAATATTAATTTGTGGTCAATGCAGCAGCAACAATTTGATCCAAAGCTTAAAAGAGAAATCTTGATTTCTGTGTGCTGTCTGTCCAAATGTGTATGGAGATCAGTGCATGTACTCAGAGCCACTGATGGTGATGTACGTACGCAGGCCTTCTCTCTTTTTTTTTTGTTATTTTTCTTTGTTTTTATTTTGTTGCTGATGATTTCATGCATCTTATTATGACGGGGCCAACCTAATGTGTATTTTAATCAAAGGTTCAATAAATGCAAATTCCACTTTTCAAACCAAATCCGCCTCCTGTGTGTTTTCCAAACGTCTACAAAGGCGAACGTGCGCGCTGAATTGTTTTAACCATTTCAAAGTACGTGTGTGTTTAAGTTTTGACAGCCAGGGTGTGGGGTGTTAACCGTACGCTGTGCTTTTTGCAGCCTTCACAGAGGTGAGTGCTTCTCTTGTTACTTCCTGTTTCTCAGACAGCCGAGCCCCACAAAAAGGAAACCAGACCAACCAGCAGCTCATGATGAGCCTCGGCAGCACCATGATAGATTGATCAGCTGTTGTGCTGTTGAGACGCAGTCCTTCGATCGTCGAAGACAAAGACCAGACCAAGATTAGACCGTAAGGTTGGTGCTTTTTAGTTTGTTCTTGATCTGATTTAAAAATAACTCTTTGTTTATCCTGATCAAAGTATTGTGTAGTAAGTTATGTCCTATTATATCAAAGCTTTTACAACAGAAGTCTTTTTAGTCGAAGAGAGCATTCGCTGCTTGAAATATCCTTCTATTTCGGGCGATGGTGAGATAAAGATCTCTTATTGAGAAATTGGGGTGTTCAGTTTTAGACACCTGAACATTAAACAGGAACTATTTCAAACAAGAGCTATAAGGTTAAGATGGAGTAGATTTCCAGGGGCCTGCGTAGTGCTTTGTTTTGGAGTTTCACGTTGAACCTCTTCAGCTTTCTCTCAGGTCACACCTTCAACCCCACATTAACTTGATCCACTTTTCCTCCTGCAGGCTCTCTCTCCATGTCTACACTGACTCCCTCGAGTCCCAGTAGTCTCACAGCACCGGTTCTGGTCCAGTTCCAGCTGGGTCTGTTCAGGGAGGTGGTTCGAGTCCCTGCGGGCAACCTGAGCTACCGTCATGCCCGGAGGTTGGCTGCTGAGGTCATAGAGCGCAAGGTAACCGCACGGGGTGGCGTTGTTTCCCGGCTCGAAAGCACTAAGACACGAGGAGGTGGGGCGGTATTATACATCTGATCGTCTGTGAAGGTTCTCAGTCATCCAGGTCATCGTAGCCAATCAGCCAGAGTTTCGGATGAAACTCTGGCTGATTGGGACCCACACCCAGTTTCACACCTTGGCTCAGGCGATTAGAGGATCATCAGGGGGTCCTTTTGTCCCTCTGTGGGGGGAAACTCCCACTAGGTTTATATCTGGGACCCTCCACCATTTGACCTTAGAACTGAAGAAGCTTCTCGGATGAGAGGTGAAACGTCTTCAAGCAACTTAAAGAAGTCCAGACGCTTTTCTTTGCAAGCTCCTTTGACTATACATCTGATTATGAAGAGTTCATCATCAGTCACGAGCGTTAAAGAGGCCATGCACCAGTTTTAAAATGGATGTTTATCTATGTTTTATTCTTACAGACACACACACACACTCACAGTAGTGTGTTGTCAGATGAGCCGATATCAAAGAGAGGGGTCTTCTCAACCACACAACTGTAACAGCGAGCAAACATGTGCCACCTCCCAGAAATTCAAACGTGTTTATGAGGGGCAGCCAATGAGAAGACAGTTTGCTTAAACAGAAAGTCGGGAGAGGTGCTAAGGATGAAGTGAGGGCCATTATATGCAAAGCTACTGTAACACAGAGTCCAACAATATTAAATATATGGAGCTGGACAATAATAACTTCATAGAGTTGTACAAAAACAAAAAGCGAAAGTGCATAACAACCTGCAGATGTGCGAATCTGAAAGCCGTCACTATTTAGGAGGCACGAGAGATACTCATGAAAGAGCCTTTTGAAATGCATTGTGGGTATTCTGTTGCGGCATTTTTTGGTAGTTGGACCAATTCTAGAGAAGTGTTATCGTCTTCAGCTGCAGTTGGGGTTTAAAGCACTTTAAAGAGAGCAGCTTTTTCTGAGTCGACCTCATTTTTAGCTGGTAGCCGTGCAGATTACGTCTAGGTTTGTTCTGTTTTCTTTTTTTCTTTTGTTTTGGAGTTTTTGTTTTTTTTAACTGCCATTCGATACTGGTCAAAACTGACTGACATGTGGTTTGCTCAGATGCCACAGCTGTAGGAACAAACTGCGTGCAAAGAGTCAGAAGCGAGAAGGTGATGAAAAAAGATATTAATTAGAATGAAGTGCTGAGCTGTCACAACGCGCCCTGACCCATAACACAGTCCCACTTGGAAAATATTGTGATGATGTTTCAAATCTCTCAGGCCTCTCAGAACTGTCAGGAAGTGGACTATGAAAGGTCAACTTATTTATGAAGGAAGGTAATGTAGGTTTGTGCATGGAGTGTGGTTTTTGTCTGCAGAGTTTGGTGGTTTTGTGCTGTTGTGTATGCAGCACTCTGTATGGTGGTGTAATTTCACCAACATTTAGTATTGTGAAGTGGGTGTCACCCAACCACCTTCAGATTTTTGAGGGTGTTTGTGAATACAATTTGTTCCAGAAAACTAAATGACAAGTTTTAAAAAATAGAAGATATAAACTCGCCATTTAACAGATTTTCTCCACCCACCAGAGATGTATTTAGAATTAACGGGTACTCTATACTTGTTTATACAGTAAAATCTATACCCAAGTGCCAGCGCACAGACGGTGGAGTAAAACTGTAGTTGAGGTTAAATAAAGAAAGTTGTGAATTGCAGGTGTTGCAGGGGCTTCATCTCACTGTCACTGGGCTGGTCTTTGCACTTCCTCGGTTACAGGGACTGTGGTCGACACGAGCGCACAAAACTTTCCAACCACAGCTTCTCCCCTCTGACTGAGACGCGCACAAACACGCACGCACGCAGCCCACCTTTACAGTTTTCGTCTTGAGTTTCCAGGCAGTAGGTCAGCTCATCGTGTGTGTGTGTGTGTGTCACTTGTGCACGTTTTACATTCATTATAGTCACTGTGTCAATGATGGGTGAACACCCGCATCTCCAACACTGAAACCTAGCAGGTATTTGCTTTACCTTTAGGGTCACATAAAGCACAATTCCACTTATGCACTTTGAGGCAGGGGGGAAGTAATGGACACATTAGGTTTGTTCTATTGGTGTAAATGTTCGCCTTAATAACGCAATGCTTTGCATCACCTGAATGAGTACTGCTGTTAGGAATGGACATGGTCGGCACCAACGCTCAAGCAGGCTGTGGAGTTTGATGCTCAGCTGTTCTATCCCCAACACCATCACGCCACCTTCAGCAGCTAGAGCCATCGATGAATTCAGACCCTACCATCAAAATGTTCCAATCGAGACTCGTCAGACCAGACAACATTTTTCTGATCTTCTGTTGTCCAGTTTTAGTGAGGCCTGTGCGAACTGTCACGTCGGTTTCCTGTTCTTAGCTAGGAGTGGCTTCCTGTGCGGTGTTCTTCTGCCGTAGCCCATCTGATTCAAGGTTTGATGTGTACGCTCTTCTGCATACGTTGGTTGTAACGAGTGTTTATTTGCCTTCTTGTCAATATGAAACAGTTCGGCCCAGAGAACTGGTTAGACATGGTTGTGTGGAAAAATCCCAGCTGATCAGCAGTTTCTGAAATACTCAGACTAACCTGTCTGAAACCAACAGCCATGCCACGTTAAAGTTACTTAAATCACGTTTTTTCCTCATTTGTGGCTCAATTTTAACTTCACCCGGTCGTCTTGACCGCCACGTGCTGAAATTCACTGAGCTGCAGTATGATTGGCTGATTAGATAGAGCAGTTGAACATGTTTAAATAATGAATTGACCTGCAGTGTCACATCTTTGAATCTGCTGTTCTTATCATCCCTAAATGATGATTCAGATAGAAAAGCAAAGCTTGAGCTACTTCGCAGCCTTCTTATCTCTCTTCCTCAGTCGTACTTTGGCGACAGATGCACACAGATTATTTATTTCTATAACGCTGAACGTGGTGGAGTCACTCTGTACCTGTGGTGCATCACTCAGGTTTCCCTTCAGAGCTGTCTTCAGTCTGCATGCTCATCTTAATGTGGTTTTGTTCTTTACCGCCGTGCAGACGTGAAAATGGAAAATCACGACTGACAGGCTGCAGGTGGCTTTCTTTGCTGTGTCCAGTTTCCCAAACCACACTTGTTCTGATTTCAAATATTTAAATTACTCCATTTGTGGAAAAACTTACTCTTTTTTCCCCCATATTGCTTAATAACTTGTTTCATTTACTCAGAAAGCAAATCGTCACATTACCGGAGCCCTTCTGGGGGTTTAAATTGATCTTGTTGCTTCAATAGTGACTCAACCTGAGACTGCGGTTTTTGTTCCTTCGCGTGTTTAGGCTCCAGACTGCAGTGTGGTGGGTGTCGGGGAGAAGATTCTGCTGTTCAGACATCAAGCCGCCTCCGAGCAGTTGCTGCAGCGGCTGACCGACTCCGACGAGCTGCAGGATGGCGACCTCATTGAGGTCATCGTTTCAGGTTAGTGTTTGAGGTTTACAGAGGCAGGTGGACACTTGGTGAGATTTGGTGGTACTACGTGTACCTCATTTGTTTGGGTGACATATAGTTTATTCATGCATGTAAAATGCTGTTTCTGTCCAGGGGTTTGGAGAGAAGCTCTTGAATGGTAAATGGCCTGTATTTGTATAGCGCTTTACTAGTCCCTAAGGACCCCAAAGCGCTTTACACTACATTCAGTCATCCACCCATTCACACACTGGTGATGGCAAGCTACATTGTAGCCACAGCCACTCTGCGGTGCACTGACAGAGGCGAGGCTGCCGAACACTGGCGCCACCGGGCCCTCTGACCACCACCAGTAGGTGGTTTTAAATGGTCAGTTTTAAATGAGTCCAACTCTCCTACTGTTCCAAACCTATTTTCACGGGGGGCAGTGGGCGGGCGGACGAAGTTAAAACTGCTTGTTTCAGACGAGTCGAGCGCCTGCACCAAGGACCAGTATAAGACAAATGAGGATTATTTTGAGCTGTGAATCATGCAAAGCTACTATAGCGGAGTCTTAGCAGTAAATGCATGGAGTGTGGATGTCTGTTGGTGTAACGAGTCCTCTCTGTGATTCAGGATCAGCCTCCGTGACACAGGTGACGATGCGTCCACACTCCTTGGCGGTGCAGTCGTACCGGACCCCCACTTTCTGTCACCACTGTGGAGAGATGCTGTGGGGCCTCGTTCGGCAGGGTTTAAAATGTGACGGTAAAGGCGCTTTCACACTTCATCATGTGGTGGTATCGTCTCTTCACTGATACTTGAGTGTTGTTAAAGTTTTTTGTTTTTACTTTTATCTCTTTACAGGTTGTGGATTAGACTTTCATAAACGCTGTGCTTTGCAGTTGCCCAGTAACTGTAGCCGAGCACGGCGTCAGGTTAGCACCAGCTTTTCCCTGTTTCCACCCCGGCGACCTCGCACACACTCGCTGTCCAATCAGGCAGGCGGGAGTCTAGAAGAGGTGAGGAACTGCTGTGATTGTAAAGCAGATAAGTGTTTTTGCAACCCTGGATTTGTTTGTTTCTCCAACACAGCTGTAACCTTTACTGGTATAATCGAATCACATATTCACACAATAGATTTCTTTCAGTTATTCTAAGTTGATATCTTTCACTTTGCATCTTTCTCCAGATCAGCAAGTCCAAGCCCGCGTCCAGGCCTCCATCCTGGGCCGAGGCTCCGGTGTGGCTGGGAGTCGGGTACAGCGACTGGAGCAGGGCTCAGGTCCCTCACACCTTCCACATCCACAGCTACACCAAACCCACCGTCTGCCAGTACTGCCACCGGCTGCTCAAAGGCCTCTTCAGGCAGGGGCTGCAGTGCTCAGGTGAGAAGGAGGAGAAAAACTAAGCACATCCCATGTTTCAGTAACTTGTTCAACCTCCTTTAGCAGCAATAACTTGAATTATTCATGTCCTGTGTGACTTTATCAGTTTCTCACATTTTTATGGGAGAAATTGCGTCTGACTTTTTTTGCAGCGTTGTTTCAGTTCACTGAGGTTTGCAGCGATTCGTTTATGCACAGATCTGTAGATTTGCTGCTGTGCTTGTGATCATTGTCCTGTTATATGATTCAACTTTGTCTAAGCTTTATCTGTCAGACAGACGGCATCATATTTGCCTCTTTTTTTTTTTAAATGACATCAGAAACAGCAGTATGCGACATTACGTGATGGCAGAGCTTCAGTTCATCCTTTGTCATTTTTTTTTTTTTTTTTTTTTTTTTTTTTTTTTTTTTAATAAATAGGACAGGGGGAATGAATGAGAGAGAGAGGGGGAGAGAAAGAAAGAAAACCCAAGGGGAGAAGAGACGGTGAGAAGGGGGGGGAAGAGAGACAAAAAAAAAAAAAAAAACTCCTGGGTCACCTGTATGGAGAAAAAACAAACAAACAAACAAACAGAGGAGACAGCAAACAACAAAGAGCAACATAATAATAGAGAAAACAAAGCACCATCACAATAAACTAGCTAGTCATAGATATCAGTATTTACTAAGTAATAAACGATATTGTGCAGCACGCAAGATAGACAGCGCACAGTGTGCTTTGAGGCAGCAGCCAAGAAAGCTTTAGTCCGCGTCTGTGAATACCCATGTGTGCATACCTGTGTGGATCAGCATGCTTGCATTCCAAAGGTTTCTCCATGTAATGATCTGCTAGGGAGTGTGGGGGGGCCACAGCCCCGTCCTCCAGGGTGTGAAGATCAAAACTCCAGACATCCAGAGGACCCCAGAACACAAGAGACCATGGAAGACCAACAGAGGGGCAGCCGCGCCACTGTTCCATCATATTTGCCTCTACAATACTTCGGTATACTCTGGTGTTAATGGTCAACTCAGTGACTGCGACGTGTTTGGTTTCCTCTCAACGTGGTTTTGTGCATCTCGTCAGTGCAAAGGACGTTGTTCCAGAGGTCTGGTGGTTTGTTCAGATGGAACTTTCCAAACATCATCTGTGCTCCAATGTTCTAATTAGAGAGAAGAGGCTTTGTCTCCAAACAAGCCATACTCCGTCAGTCTTTTTCTAATTGTGCTGTCAGCCAGCTGTATCAGAAAGTAGATCGCATGCATCTACTGCAGTGAGACTCTCTTGCTGTGACGCCATGACAGGATGTAAATATTAATGGTTTACACCTCAGCTGAGCTCTTATTTTAGCCAGCTGCACGTTTCGTTTGGTAGAAGGAAATTAGCACAAGACAGCACAAGTGTTAAGAGAAGGTTGACGTCGCTGAAAAACCCCCATAACAAACCCAGTCTACGTCAGGGTTGGTGGACTTAGTCCATTTAGTCAATGGGAAATGAGAATCACATCAGATTTCCTGTAAAATGTATTTCCCGCACAATTTGGCTCACAGGAAGTTCTCTACAAGTGCACAGAAAGTTTATTAGTCTCTGCAAAGTTTAGTCCTGCATAATTTACACTTGTACAAGTGAGCTGCCACACAGCCGTCTCACCACAACCTGTTTAACAGCACGAGGCGTTTAACAAAAGCAAAACTCACTCTTGGATTTAAATGTAATACCTGTTTCTATTATTATAGCTGTTTGACAGGTCTGAAAAACAGGTTTGTGTAATATCGCTTAAATTAGAAACATCCTGTCTCAGAGTGAGGCTGAAAAACGAGTTCATACATTTATTGCTTCCAGGCTTAAAACTTTTTGCTAAAGCATATAGTTAGAGCTGGATCACGTGACCCTGAATCTTCCCTTAGTTATGCTGCAGTAGGTGTTAGCTGCTGGGGAATCCCATAATGCACTTCACTCACTGTGTGTTTACACACCTCTCTGCATTTAATCATAAGTTATTATTAATCTCTGGCTCTCTTCCTCAGCGTCTTTGTCTGTCTTCCTTCCCTCACGCCCAGTTAGTTGCGGCACATGGCCGCCCCTCGCCGAGCCTGGTTCTGCTGGAGGTTTCTTCCTGTTAAACGGGAGTTTTTCCTTCCCACTGTCACCAAGTACTTACCTTGAGGAGGTTGTCTGATCGTTGGGGCTTTCTCTCTGTTATTGTGGGTCTTTACCTTACAATACAGAGCATCTTGAGTTGTTGTGATTTGGTGCTTATAAATAAAACTGAACTGAACGTGGCAACTCTGTAGTTTTGTAGGATACTTAATTTAAGAGGAGAAAATCTTTGATCTTGCAGTTTGCCTGTACCCTCCTACCAGGCTTCTGCTGTCAAACTGGCTGCACATGAGTGCAAAACTTTACAGCTGCGTCACCTCGAAGTCTGGCTCAAAGGAACATCCTGTGCTGTGGGTTATTTGTTCTTTTGTTAATTTTCAGTTTGCCTCTGCATCTTAGCAGAGGTCCCAATGTGGCCCGCTGGCCTGGATCTCGACACATGTGGTCTAAAGGTATAGATAGCACAACAGGTCACCTTTGAATCTTATTGTCACCCACTCCTGTGAAAGAGTGGGTGACAGGCCTCCTTCTTTACAAACCTGATAATGTTATGCGTTCAGATCTTGTGGCCATTTTTGGTGCTCTGTTCCTGCAAAGCTTTGACTTTGATTAGTAATGCTTGACTTGGAGGCTCACGATTACACAGCAAACACTTGTTTTGTCAAGGAGCTTGTGTATCCCACGTACTTACGTAAGCAGATTGGGTTGAATCTAATTTTACCTAAATGCCTGGATGTGTCGCAGATGTCTCGAATCTCAGACGACATTCATTTTCATCACGAAAAAAGCTGACCGCAATATTCTGACTCATGAGTTTGTATCTTTCCAGACTCCAGCACTCTTCCTTTTTCTGTCAGCCTTTTTAAACCTCCCACGTCTCCTCCATGGTTTTTCCAGACTGCAGGTTTAACTGCCATCGGCGCTGTGAGCCTTTAGTCCCCAGAGACTGTCCCGGAGAGAGGAACGGCATGAACAGGGAAGGTGAGTGACGGTCCCTGGAGGTCTGAGGTCTGGTTTTCATTTCATATTCTGGGCTTGTGGCTGTGTTAGACCATGGCTCTTTGAAAAGGGGCCTGACTCTGATGCTGTCAGCATGAGTCGAAGCTGATTCACCCTGTTTCCCAGGAACATTTGATAGATTCAGGCCTCACTCTAAATTAGCATCTCAGAAATGTCACATTCCTCCGAGTAGCGGTGATGATTAGCTGCATGATGAGTCAGGTAAACTGAGCCCGATGAGAAATGAGATGAAATGATTTCACCAGAGAATATGTAAAAAAGAGAAAACAAAGACAGGTAACTGATCAGCAGTATTTCAGATGCATTTTAAATCATTTATTGAGAAAAATCAGACATTTTCTTTTGTTCGGTTCATCTTGAACTTATTTGTTTGCTATTTTTACCTCATTATTTGTTGGTATTTTATGGCCCTAATCGTGTAAATAATATAAATAGAATTAAATGTAGCTGTTCATTAGTTGCTGATGTCACATTTCCAGAGAGCCCAGCAGCTGATAACAGCTGCCAACCAGACTTGGAGGACAATGAGTCAGTGATCACCAGCACCACAGAGATCTGCGACGATGACATGTTCACCGATGATGACTCACAGGCAGAGACCGGGGAAGTCGAGCAGCTGCGAGAGCCGATGAGGTCAGAGGGGCACTAAGTTTTTCTGATGATCTAATCCCAGCTAAAAGCTGTCTGCTGGTGCAGACAGCGTCCGAACGATGTCAGGCGTCTGAATCACACGTCGCCCAAATTCACGTATTATAAAACAGACGTTTATCATCCCTGTCGTTTATATCTGGGTTTTCTCGGCTTTGTTTGTGGCGCACGCTGCCACCTAGAGGCGACTTCTGTTTAATTCACCATCTCCAAACGGACCTTTATTTTGTCCTCCCTCTCTTTTTCCGCCCGCCAGTCCTTGTTTCAGCAGCAACATCCCCCTGATGAGGCTCGTCCAGTCGGTGCATCACACTAAGAGGAGAGGCGGAGGAGTCCTGAGAGAGGGGTGGCTGGTCCACCACACCAACACAGACACATTGGTGAGGAACACACTCTTTCAGATCTGGAAACGTTCAAAAAAGCAAAATGTTTTGCTCAGGTTATGATATTTGTAAAGCAGAATCACATTTTCATCGGCTTTTAACTCGGTCGTGTCTTTACTCAGAGGAAACGCCATTACTGGATCTTGGACTGGAAGAGCATGACTCTGTACCAGAATGAAAACACCACGAAGTTCTACAAGGTATGATAGTTGCATGATATAAGACGGAAACAGACAAAGCAGCATCCTGTGTGCTGCACGCTCACTCCCACTCGTATCAAAGGCCTCTGTCATTAACATGTATGCAGAAATGTTCCTGCAGTGTGCCAGTGTTGTTCCTCCCACTGTGTCACTGTGTAAACAGTGCAAACATCCACCGAGGCAGCTCGCGCTCTGAGCAGTGTTTACTTTAAAGAGAACAGTATTGTATTTTGTGTATGTTCATTTCTCCTTCGTTTTAAACGTACTTTAAGAAGTTTGTAGTGCAGTGAAAATCAGACAATGATAGCCTGACAGATGTTACTTTGATTATAGAAACATTATGTAGGAGCAGGCCATGGATAATAGCTTTAAACCTCCTCTGCAGGAGATCTCTCTGTCCGAGGTGCTCGGGGTCCGAGGCCCCACCCAGCTCTCCGTGCCACCATCAGACGGCAGCACTCACTCGTTCGAGCTGGTGACTGTGTCGCTGGTGTACTGCGTGATAGCCGGCGAGGAGGGGGCAGCCTGGGAGAGCGCCATCCGGCAGGCTATGATGCCGGTGGAGAGCAGCAGAGGACACAAAGATGAGATCCAGGGTGAGTCAGAAAACATCAGATATTAATATCAGATCTTACTCTGAATATGGTAACAGTGATGGATATGGACCCGCAACATTCAGTTAACAAGACTTCCTCTCTCTGATTACAGATCAATACCGATACAGACGCAATGCGGTAAGATTTGAGCGAGTTTATCGTGCACACGTTAGAGGAGTGTTACAGAGTGTCGAAGTGTGTTTGTGTGTGTTTCAGGACATCAGCTCGGTGTATCAGATCTGTACAGACGAGGTGCTGGGGTCGGGACAGTTTGGCGTGGTGTACGGAGGTCAGCTGATTCTCATTATGTTGTTATGTCCAGAGAACTGAACACGTGGAGTACAAGAAAATCCTGTTTTCTATGACTGTGACTGTCTTTATGCAGTGATCTGAAAATACACAGAAGAAACAGTTTCAAAAGTCTAAAAAGACACCAAAGAAATCAGAGACTTCAGAGACTGAAATGTTGCTCAAAACAAACTTTTTCATCAAATGTCTTTCTGTTATTGCTAAGCTACAAATGCTCCTTTGCTTCATTATCACGTCTCTTTTCTTTCTCTTCTTCAGGAACTCACAGGAAGTCGGGTCGAACAGTTGCCATCAAGGTCATCGACAAGACGCGTTTCCCCACCAAACAGGAGACGCAGCTGAGAAACGAAGTGGCCATCTTACAGGTTTTAATGCGGTTTTTATACACTTTACAAGAAATGACACAAAAAATGTAACAAGTTACTGAAAACACGTGAGGAACAAACCAGGAACAACCTGATGGTTAACCTTTAAAACGATAATCTGTGACATAATTGTCAGAAAATTCACATTTTTTTCAAAGTTTTTGCCAATTTATTTAGAATGAATTAAATATTAATTTGCATATATGAGTTTTAATTGGTATCATATTGGCCACATTTGGCATTTTAGTTTATTTTTTCAAAATGTATTGCTTAAAAATGTGTTGTGCTCTTTATTTTGGTTTTTGAGGGGAAAATAAAATCACACTGATGATGTAAATGCCTCAAAACCTCATGCATCAAAAACGATATATTAGGCATTAAGGGGTTAAAGAGCCATTCATCATTGCTTTAATAACTCCTGATCCATTACATCACTGTAGAAGAACTAGCTTGGATATATTAGTGACAGTTACTTAATCTGGTTTAAATCCTGATGGATTAACTACGGAAGAGGATTAGGGCCACTGGAAAAAAAAATCTGAGATTAAACTCAGAATTCTGACTTTTTCATCAAAATTCAGAATTCTGACTTTAATCTCAGATTTTTTGATCTGCTGGGATTTTCCCACACAACCATCACTAGTTTACAGGGAATGGCCTGAAAATGAGACAAATATCCAGAGTCTTCTGGTAAAAACAGGCTCCTGATGTCAGAGGAGAGTGGGCCGACTGCTTTGAGCTGAAAGGAAAGCAACAGTAACTCAAAGAGCCACTCGCCAGGTGCACTCCTGTCAGCTAAGAACAGGCCTGAGGCTAAATCTGCAGTAACCGTGTGATGCTGTCATGACAGTGTGGACCAAAATCTTGCTGTGGAGGAAAAAGGAGGTCCAACCTGCCTAATAAAGTGTCTGGTGAATGTTTATTGATGAACAGATGGTTGTGGACATGATTAGTAAATAATCATCAGTTATTAGTGAGTTATTAGCACAAGTACAAATAACTGTCACATTGTTCCCGATTCCTTCCTCACTGCTTCCTCATTAACTCAACACATTTGATTGAAGTGTTGCAGATTTTCGGTTGATTTTTAGTGTTATAGTCACGATCAGGTGATTTACTGACGTGCGTGTTTTCCAGAATCTGTCGCACCCCGGCGTGGTTCTGTTGGAGGGCATGTTCGAAACTGTCGAGCACGTGTTTGTTGTAATGGAGAAGCTGCACGGAGACATGCTGGAGATGATTCTGTCCAGCGAGAAAGGTCGACTCCCTGAACGCATCACTCGCTTCCTCGTCATGCAGGTACGAGATCCCGATCTGAGAAACACTCCAGGGGTGTCTAGAGGATGTCCTTGTTTTTTTTCTTCTTGTTTTAACAAAGATGCAGGGACCTTTAATGTTTCTGTTTATCCCAAAATTAAATGTGAAATTCTCAAACGTGTGCTTCAGATTCTGGAGGCTCTGCGGTACCTGCACTTGAAGCACATCGCTCACTGTGACCTGAAACCTGAGAACGTACTGCTGGCCACTTCAGACCCCTTACCTCTGGTGGGATTTTGCACTTTAGTTCCCGATACAGCACACGGCATCTTATTTAATCAGCTCTGCCTCTGTGCCGCAGGTGAAGCTGTGCGACTTCGGCTTCGCCCGGATCATAGGGGAGAAGTCTTTCCGGCGCTCCGTCGTGGGGACTCCGGCCTACCTGGCACCCGAGGTGATCAGCAGCAACGGCTACAACCGCTCTCTGGACATGTGGTCTGTCGGCGTCATCATGTACGTCAGCCTGAGCGGCACGTTTCCCTTTAATGAAGATGAGGACATCCGGCAGCAGATCACCAACGCCACCTTCATGTACCCGCGCCAAACCTGGGCCCCCATCTCACTGGAGGGTATGAACGGTGTTTTTCTTTAGTTTTAAAACTTCTTTGTGAGCTGGGTTTACAGTTTCTCAACATAGTGATGATGAGAGTTTATTATGCTTTCCCTGTTAAAGGTTTCACACACTACAAACTCCACGTCGGAAAGTTGCCATGTCAGCCCACAGTTTTGCGTCGTTTTAAACATTTAAATATATTTTCTTTAGTTTGATCCATGTCAGCCCACAGTTTTGCGTCGTTTTAAACATTTAAATATATTTTCTTTAGTTTGATCCATGTCTGCCCACACATACAGTTTATAGTGTCATGCTTGAGTCCTGTTATTCTCCTGTTTCTCCACTGGGTGGCTCCAGTGAGCAAATTCTCCTCTAGAAAATCCTTCTCCGTCTCATTTCCTCCCCAGCTGTGAGCCTCATCAATAACCTGCTGCAGGTGTCGGTGAGACGGCGGTTCACCGTGGGCAAAGCGCTGGGACACAGCTGGCTGCAGGTCGGACACTTTACAAACGCTATCATTGAGAATCGTTTAATTTTGTAGTGTGAAACAACAGAATTAACTCGATCTAGTGTTACTGCGTTCATAGGTGTTGACCAGGATGCTCAGATGCTCCTGATCAGGTTTCTAATAGTCCTGATGTATAGATGTGTATGAGTCATGCACGCTCTCCTCTCGCTACTGCAGAACTTCCAGCTGTGGTGCGACCTCCGGGAGTTCGAGCTCAGGATGGGCTGCAGGTACCTGACGCATCGAGGCGACGAGGACCGATGGCGCTTCTACGCTGCAGAGATGGGGCTGGACTTCCCCTCCCGCCTCTGCTGTAACCCCAACAAAGAATTGGACATGTGACCTCGAGCACAGAGGTTAAGGGTCGGACACTTTATCAGACTGTGCAGCTACATTTAAAAAAAACCAAAAACATTCAGCAGTGAGGCCACGGATCAAACGGGAGAAAAGTAATAAAGACACAAACACGTGTGGTTTTAATAATATAATTTTCCTTTTTTATTTTCAAGTTGAGGTTTTTAACATATGACTGAAAGAGTGGCATCAGTGATGAGACAGCATGAGTTAGGGATGAGGGGGAGGAGGAGGAAAATGGAGCACAGATGAGTTAAGATATCGAGATCATGCACAGGGAGGAGCCTAACACAGCGATCGTCGTGGCTGACCTCTTCTCTTCAAATGCTACCCTAAACCCTGTGTTGTGAGTACGCCTGCTATGGTTCCACGTACAGTTTTGATTCTTCCCGTTTCATCCACAACTTTCCTGATGCCCTGTCTGACACCTCTCTCTGTCTCTGTCCCCCTTCTCCTCGTAATTTTACAATTAGCCCAAAAAAAGGCTAAAAAAAGGAGTTTAATAAGAGAGGCGTGTGGGAGAGGTCGCTCTCTCTGGCCATAACAGCTCATCTTTCTGTATCCGTTCCCGAGTCACCGCCCAGCCACGGCGCTCTCCTCCCGTTCCCCCCACCTGTGTCTTTTAATACTCGGCGCTCCCATTCGTCCTCCGTGTGTTCCTGAGTTTCTTAAGGCTTTAAGATCTCCAGGTTAAATCGCATCTTTGCTAACATTCAGGTTTCACAGTGCTGTGGTGAGAGTTTTCAGTAGCACCCGACAGGCCTCGCTCCTCTGCTGACTGCACTCGTGAACGGGCTCCTGCGGGGGTTCGTGTGAGGGCGAGTCGGTGACTCAAAAGGCCGTTTTTTTTTTCTCTAAACTTCAACATAGCATGCATCTGCACAAATACACAACCAACCAAGCCAACTGACCAATCACGTTTTCTTCTTTGATCACCCTTCTACAAAAAAAAAAAAAAAAAAAAAAAAAAGGAGGAGAGGGGAAGAGCACACGGCTTTGCTCAAAAATAATCTAACTTTCGTTCTCTCTCGTTGCCTCCTTCTCTTTAAAGCCTTGTGAAGGCAGGTATGTCATTATGTATGCTGCTTACATAAGTTCAGTGCAATAACTGGTACACCTGTTTTTTCTTCTTCTTTTCTTTTAAACGAGAGAGGAGCTGAGCAGCCTGAACAGAGTTTGTGAGGTCTGAGCAAAGTCTTCTGCTCTTCCCCTCTGAGCAGTGTTCCTGTGTTTTAAAAAGAGGGATGGGCGGAGTTAGGAAGAGGGGAATAAAGTTAAGATTTGAGAAGGTGGTGGGGGAAAAAAAAAAAAAGAATAACGTGTTTTAAAGGGACAGTGGAAGGGTTTAAAATCGCTCTCTCCAGACAGGAGAAATAAGAGAAGCTGGGAAGAAGGGGTGAGGAGGAGGAGGAGGACGTGAAGAGAAGCAGCTGCGCTTATAAGTCGCTCTCTCCGTAGAGGGCACTGGAGAAGGAGATGTAGTCCAGGGCGCCGGAGGGACAGTCCGGTCCGACGTACCTGGTCATGCGGGTGATGCAGTACTCCGCCTGCTCGGGAGGCAGCTCCCTGCGCAGCTCCTCCACCGTGATGTAATTCTGCGGGAGAGAGAGAGGGGGCGAGGTGTGATTCACGAGGAGCTATTGTCTCCTGTTACAAATGTACTGGTGCATCTGTGAGGATCGGAGAACGATGACTCAAGGTTCAGGCAAACAGTCCTGCAGTTCGAATTTGGAAAGATGAAAACCTGAATTTAAATTACGGACTTGCTGTTGAAATAAAGCTGTACAAGATAAATCGCGATGTTTCTCCCAGATTTAAGGGGAAATTTTGCTCTTTGTTTCGATCGGGACACTCAGAGAATCCGGGTTACGTATGTAATCAAAGAAAAAGCTTGGAGTGAGATAAAGAGTGCTTCTGTATAATTTCCTCCTTGCATACCTGAGTGAGTTGCCTCAGTTTGGATTGAGTTATTTGGGGATATAAGCATTTAGGTGCCACAGCATCACCTCCCCTTGCCAGAGGTGTTTTCTATGAACGTGAACATTTCAAAAAGTCTCATCAACCTACATACAAAGTGTCAACACATCAGTGCCGATACAATCATACCAATGACCAAAAACCTGATTTGTCAGATTTTTTGTTTTTGTTTAATTTATTGAACTTGTTATAATTAAGCCAAATTATACTATTTATATAGCCTGTTGGGTTAGAAACCATATTCATTAATAAGAAATATGCTGTCTCATAGTTTTTCTTTCAGCTTTCGAAAGCTGGTTTCTTGTTTATTGCTTAAATTTTCACTTCACAAAGCCGACTCCAGCCTGGGTCACTTACAGCCTATCCAGCAACTTGACTTTCTTATAACAAAACCACAGCGCTCCTGGATCACAGCTAATACGTTGCTCTCACTGTAAATAGATACTGTATCAGTGGTGACAAGGTGTTTGATACCAGAGCCTTTATGTTATCCGTTTGTGGTCTGAGTTCCCCAAACTCAGTGATTTCTAAAGTGTGGGCTACGAATGAAAGTATGTACAGTTACATATTTATATGAATGTATTTATTTATATAAAAAGTGAATGCAAACTGGTAACAGGAGGAGTTGACTGTGATGTTACTCATTACTCTGAGTGTCCCAGTGGTAGGTGGGTCATACTTAGGATTTAACTCAGCATATGACTGTGTAGCATTAGAGATTTATAGCCAACAGTCTGTTTTTTTATGTTGTTTTTTTAAATAAAAATTTCAAGGATAAACGTCACTGTCTCTTGTGTTGATTTCAGATCCATTGAATTTTTTTGTTTTTTGAAGGAGTGCAGTAGCACTCTTGACTTTGGCAATGGCTGCCCTAACCGGTCACGTTTGGATGCAGGCTAACCATCGGAATTTGAAAGGAAATTATGCATTTCTGAAATGCAATAAACTGTAAATCTGTAAAAGTTTTATTAACATCAGCACTAAAAATGTGTGCCGGGAGCTTCGCTACATGAGTTTCCCTGTCTGTGTCGCTCTTTTTATGTGCCCCAGTACTTTTGTCCATATCAATGTGTCCTCTGGCTGCACTGGAAGCTCTGTACAGGCTAAATAAGAAGACCAGTTAGATGATATAAGGTAAGAAGATGCTGTATCCATCTGCTCACCTTGTCTGAAGCCAGGATCTTGAAGGAGGCCATGACTTGTTCTGCAGTGTCGGTCTCGGCGGTCTCACGGGTCATGAAGTCGATGAAGGCCTGGAAGGTCACAACGCCCGTGTTGTTGGGGTCCACCAGGGTCATGATACGTGCAAACTCCACCTCACCCTGTCAGCAAAAGCAACAATCAGCAATCGTTACTGCGCAAACGAATCAGTAAATCCTTATAGTTTACATTTGAACTACGCTCAAGTTGTTGTACAAGTCAAGCCTATGAGCGCCTGACCACTGACCAGATCGTAACCCATGGAGATGAGACAGGCACGGAAGTCGTCTGGGTCCATCATGCCGTTTCTCTTCTGCAAAGGAACAGCACAAAGTATCGCTTTCATTACTGTGCCAAAGAGTCGTAGTAATTAATGAATTCACTCATTAGTGATGCTAAAACATCAATGAGCATGAACTTAAGCGACGTATCGAAACTTTTTCAGCCTCTTAAATAGGAAATGCCAAAGGAAAAGTTTGAAAACTATACGAAGCACCACTCTCTTCTCCTCGACCTACGGTGTCGCCTCACCCTGTCGAAGTGGTTGAAGGAGGCCCTGAACTCGTTGAGCTGCTCCTGGCTGATGCCCTTGGCGTCGCGGGTCAGGATCTGGTTCTCGACCTCGTTGATGGTTCTGGCGATAGTGGTGAGCAGCTGCTCCCAGCCCACACGGATGTGCTGCAGTGGAGAGGGAATGGGAGGAAATTAAAACAGAGGTAGCGTACACTTTGAGTAGAGAGGAGTGAGAGCTAAGCCCATCTGCAGATCGCGCTGCGGTCTGCATGCACACCTCCATGGTGTAGTTGGTGTGCTTGTTGTCGAAGATGAGGGACTCCTGGATGAGCTGGTGGTCTCCCTCCAGTTTGTCGATGTTGGATTTGTAGTTGATGATGTTCTGCTCGTACTGCTTCAGGCTGTTCATCTGTTCCTCCAGGGAGCCGGCGATGTCCACAGACACGTGGCTGATCTCCTGCAGAGACAGGAATCAATGAGGAAATGCGGCACTCACCATACTTTCACATATTTTACTGCATTATTTTGTAGCAACAGCTGAGCGTTACTGTTCCCACAGATCACGTTGATCCGACCGTGCAGATTTACACACAGCACTGGTTACCCAAGCACCCCCATCTCGTACCTCCATCTTGGTTTGAATCCAGGGTCCGATGATGTTGGCCTGAGCGGCAAACTGGCGCCTCAGTCTCTCATTGGCCTGCTGCCTGGCCACCTCCTCCTGGAGCATTTGGTCTCTGAGGGGCACGAGGTGCTTCACCTGCACACATAGTTTATATCTGGTGACTGTGTGTAACTTACATTATTACAGTTTACTTAAACATGTTGTCACCTCTTCCATTTCTACGCTTGCATCACTGCATCTTTAAATTAACTGAATGTTGCTGTCACTTTTTCCAAGTCTGTATACATAGTTTTTCACTCCAGATTGTAACTTCATGATTGCCCAGATAGAAAGAAAAAAAAATTTGTTTCTTGAGCACAGATGGTCTGATGTGTGTCGCACTATGGCTGCACTATTTCCCCTGAGAGCCTCACAGCCAGCAGTGCTGAGTGTCACTCTAACCCACATGTACTGTACTATTCCTGACCTGTCGCTATCTTTGCACTGTGCTAATATTAGCTGGATGACCAAATGGAGTGTACACACAGAGAGAGAGAGAGCGAGCCAGGTTGACATTTGCTGCTACATAATGCTAACTTGCTGAAAGCAGATTAAAGAGCAGCCAGGCTCCTCATTGTGTCTGCGATATAATAATTAATTTGCTCCTTCTACAAACGCTGTGTTTGTGGGGTCCGTTTGACTTGACTCACAGTGTCCCACTTAGTGCTGATGTCCTGGGAGGAGAGGTTGGTGTACGGGTTGATCCCGGACAGCTTGATGCCGTAGGTCTGGGCGATCTTCAGGATCTCGTTGTGGATGCCCAGAGTGGCCATGCGCTCCTTGTCGGCCTCGGGCAGAGTAGCCTTGAACTGGTCGTGAGCTGTGATCAGACTCTGTGCGGGAGGAAAACAAATATAAGGTGGTGTATTAGAAAAAAGAAAGACAGAGTGTATGTTTTTTTGTACAACTTCTTCCTTTGGTACAGATTTAAATGTCTGAGAAAAAGAAAAGAGCCTGGTTCTGCTGGAGGTTTCTTCCTGCTAAAAGGGAGTTTTTCATTCCCACTGTTGCCAAGTGCTTGCTCACAGGGAGTCGTCTAATTGTTGGGCTTTCTCTGTATTATTCTAGGGTTTCTATCTTACAATATAAAACAGTGTGAGGGGACTGTTGTTGTGATTTGGTGCTATATAAATAAAACTGAATCAGATGGTTACCTGGATCTCTTCAATGCTGTGGACAATGAACATGTCCTGCAGGTCCTCCATGGCTCCGTCCATCCAGTTGTTGAAGGGTGCCGCACGCTTGGCGAACTCCAGGTACAGCTGGTCAATGGTCTCCCACAGCTTCTCCACACGCTGCCGTCACAGACAGAAACACACTCGTGATGCTGAAGCAGACGTGTGCATACAAACACGGAGGGAATCTGCCATTTGCACTCTTCGTGTTGTTTTTGTCACTCCTCGCTGAGCATCGTGAAAACATTAAGCCGAATTTGCCGATAAAAATCAAGACGCCCTGAATCACATTAGCTGTATTTGTCTGGTGTCCTGTGCTTATAAAACCTCACAACTTCACAATTTCCAGATCTTTCTGCCTACTTCCTGTAACTCTGTCACTTCCTGTAATCACTGGTATTCTGCTTTTCAGTCTGTTCACATGGAAACGCTCCTTTGTCCTCTTTCCCACCATGTTTCTGCTGCTTTCTGATCTCAGAGAGCTGCCCACGGTTTACCTGCTGCTTCTCAACTCTCTCCTTTTTGTCCCTACACTCTCCTCCTGACCCCCTGCTCTCTCTGAGGCAGACGGCCACCCCAGAAACTCGTTCAGCTGGAGGTGTTTTCTTGCTTGCTCACAGCGTATTGTTGAGTTTCTATTTATAATATTCGAACCATATAAAAGTGTACTCAGATCTCTGGACCTGTGCACTACAACTGAAGCTGAAATGACTTTCCTCCACTGCCGCCTGCTCCGAGTGTTGGCCTCTAATCACCAAAACTCAGATTCATATTACACTAATCAAAATTTTATCTCTGTGTAAAACATGTTATTTTATTTTTAGTTTCCCACACTCTCAAAATCATTTATGTAATTTTTTTTAGTGTCACTCTTATTATCCAATCGTCTAAGCCTGACCACACCCTCCCAGCCAATCAGCTGCTAGCCCCTGCTGTGTACAATAACTGCAATCAGCAGTTTTGCACCACCTGTTGTGCATCCCGCATCCTCCCCATCGCCTCCCTCATCATTCATGCACTCATTTCCACTCATCCAGCTCAGTCTCAGGAAGGCTGGAGACGATCCCAGCTGTCTTTCCAGACAAAAATCTGTAACGTGTTCAGTGAGTTGTTTACATAAGCAGCTGATTGCTGTTTAGTTTTACCTCCAGTGAATCCCTCCTCTTCTGGGTGAGAGTGCCCAGATTGTCCCACTGGTCACAGATACCCTGGCAGCGGGTGTTGACTGTAGCAGCATCGTGGTAGTCCAGCTCACTGGAGAGAGAGACAAACAACAAAACAGACGAGTACATAGACCATTATCACACAAATATTTACAAAATGGTAATAATATTAGCTGAAACTCAGCTAAACCCGCTAATAAATCATCATTACGAATAATCACGTTTGTCAGATGAGTGAAACTCTCCTTTCAGTCAGTGTAAAGAAATTTAGCTGCACGTTTAATAATAATAATAATGGATACTTTATTGATCCCCATGGGGAAATTACTTGTTTTTCTCTGCATTTGACCCATTCACTCAGTGAAGCAGTGGGCAGCCCACTAAGCAGGCGCCCGGGGAGCAGTGTGTAGGGACGGTACCTTGCTCAGGGGTACCTCAGGGTAGCCGTTAAGTGGATTCGAACCGCCGACCTTCCGATCATGGGGCGACCACTTTACCTACTGAGCTATCCCTGCCCAATAACCAATGAGATTTCTTAATATAAGAAAAACAAGCTGAATATAAACAGTGAGTCTCAGTTGTTCTACATGATAAAGTTTAAGCTCTCTGGAGTTAAATATTAAAAAATGAAGTGTAAAATTAGAGAAATCTATAATTAAATTACTTTGGTGTGGTATGAGTAGCCAACAGTTCAAAGTCTAAAATGTTTGTCCTCTTTCACATTTTCCAAAGCCGTCCAGTGGGTCGGATCAGGGACTTCACTGGGCCGATTCTGGCCCCCCGGGCCTTATGTTTGACACCCCTGATCTAAAGTAAGGTAAAGTTGAGGAAACTCTTCTGTGAAGTGATCTCATTTCTCCAAATAAGCCGAATATTTAATGCTCTTTTATTAAATGCATTGATATTTCGCCCTCCTTTGAGTTGAGGGGCATCTAAGAACTTTTCTTTCTTGATACCGAGGTCATGATTTGTGCTTTTGAAGTCCTCGCTGATAAATTATACTGTACATTTTTTCAGCTTTACAGTGCCGATCTGCTCATATACTGTAACATCAAAGAAATCATCTCAAGGCTATCTCGGAGAAAAAAAAAGCCCCGAGGAGCTGCGGAGGATAAGGAAATGGCGAGATCAGAGGTTTCCGCTCTCTCGTGAAGCACCCTTTCATCTTTCTTATCTCTCATTAATATTTTCCACTCATCTGTTGCATCTTTTGTTCCTGGCTGCGTTCGCGTTCTCGTCTGCTCTCGACATCCCTGCCGTCACTTCAGCTACTCGCTTTCTTCCCCTGCTCTTCTTCCCATTATGCAGAATAATTGGGATAATGCTTTCTCCACCCCCGCCCCCACCCATCATGATTTTCAACATCTCTCTTCCTCCCCGTGACCTTAACGTCCGGCATTAGGACACATCTCGTCACACGCTCTCACTTCAGCTCCTGAGCGATGGCGGCGATCTGCTCCACCCTGTCCTGGTGAGCGGCGAGGTCGCTCTCGAAGGCCTCGTGCTTCCTCATCAGGGCTCTGATCTCCATCAGAGAGGCCGACTCGTAGTCCTTCTGGGACAGAAGATCCTCCTTACCTGAAACACACACACACACACAGTTACTTTAAAGACGGTAACAAGTAAAAGTCGGGCCCACAAGCTTTTAAAGTTTTACAGCTCTCGCTCAGATTTTTATATCTCCCACTCGCTGTATCGTTTCAGTGTCCCCATGAATCATTAGATCCTTTTTAATTGCTCTGTATAATCTTACTGGGCCATTTATGGTGCTTTGATGTGGTTTTGAGGGTTATCTTTTGCTGCTTTGCCTTATTACACAGTAAAGTGTGAAGACTCGCGATTAACGGAGGTAAAAAAAAAGCTACAAAACAAGAATAGTTTGATACGTCAAATATAAAAACAACGAGGAGAGGACAAGAGCATGTTTAATATTCGATAAATGTTTCTTTACACAAAAAGGCGACCTTTCAATCGTCGAGTCACTGTGTAAATGACTACGCTAAGAAGGATCCGCATTTGTCACTCTTTAAGGAAGCAAACAGTAAGTAACATTTTTTATAAAGAGCTTCTCGCAGATAAATCACAAAGTGCTTTACAGCAAAGAAAATGAAAAGAATGGAAATGCAACAAATAACAATGTAAAACAGTAAAATACAACAAATTAATTAAAAGCTTGCCTATATAAAAATGTCTTCAGCTGCTTTTTAAACGAATCAATGGCGTCTGCACAGCGTAAAACCAGCGGGAGAGAATTTCACAACCTCGGTGCCGCTGCCCGAAAGGCCCGATCACCAAAAACTGGAGTGATATGAGATCTTTGCTTGGTGCGAAGATCTCTCTTTAATTCAGTTTATTTATATAGTGGCAGCACTCGCTTTAAAGTGCGTTATATTGTGAGCTAAATAAAATACAAAATCTATCCACCACCTACCTGTAGTCCAGGCCTCGTGCATGGCGCACTTCTGCTTGAACTTCTCGGCCAGGTGGTCGAGTCTCTCCAGGCGGCGGATCTCTGTCAGCAGCCACTCCTCGTAACCCTTCTCCACCTGCTCCAGACCTTTCCAGGCATTTGCGATGTCCTGAAGGAGAGGGAGCGCTTTCATTATTACTCTGTGCTGAGGAGGAGGAGTGTTAGGCGTATTATCGACACGTTCGAGGGGAATTAAGAGCTCGTGACGGCCCGCCGTACTCTGACTCTGAATTGATTTGAGATTGTAGACCTTGAGAGGTTTTTAATATCTGTAAATTTCTCAGAAAGCAGTAGCTGAGAGTCTCTTTGAAGTTTTGCTTTATACAAAGAAGATGATGAAGAAACTATTTTTTTCTTTTTATCCTTTTATCCTTCTTCTTGACTAATTTGAGCTGAATCTGGGTGAATGTTTGGGCTGGATCGTACTCCACTCACCCTTAGGTGGAAGCTTGCCTGCTGGTGGGACACTATATGTGGAAGTCCCTGTTGGTGACAAACTACTAGAAAAGATTCAGTGTGCTCATTATCTCTGTTTTATTCCCCGATGATGTGTTGGAGTCATTACATAACCTTGCCATGAAAATAAAGGAATTTTGATTTTATTTTGAAAGGGGAGTGGTTTGGCGTTTTCAAAGAGCACCTCGAACAGAAGTGCCCGTGTCTAACCACCAACTGAAGTGTGACTTTGTTGTTTTGGTCTCTTTTTTCAAACTCTACGTCTCATAAAATCCTTTCCAAAGTAACACACAAAGAATTTAATCTTTCAACTGATGTGTGAGCTTGAAAATCCTGAGTGATGCATTAAGTCGTCCTCCTTGCTCACCGACACCATCTTGCCCTCAGAGGGCATGAAGGCGGGCCTGTTGCTGAGCCTCAGCTTGGTCTGCAGGGTGTTGAAGTTGATCTCCAGCTGGCATTTCTCCTGCACGCGGGGCGGCTTGTGGACGCGACGGTAGTCACGGAAATCCTCCAGCTTCTGCTGCATGGCGCGCATGGTCTGCTCCGCCACGCGGTTCTCCAGCCAGGGGATGGTGCGACGGATCCACTCGAGAAGCTGCAGAAGAGAAACGCAAAGGTTACTCAGAGTACTCTGATTACTTCAGTCTGCAGTTTACATGCACACCCACACACATCATATGACCTTTATGACCTATATTCTGTATGTCTTTAGTGAAAGAAAGTCTTTATTTAGGGTCATGTTTGTGCATCAGTTCTAGCTGCTTTGTATATCAGCTACTCGCATGTTTCTGATTATTTAAAGATATAATGCTGTGCAAAAGTCTTGAGCCACCCTTCATTTCTGTACATAGGAAAAAGTTGCTCATATTCCACCGCACTTTCTGCATAAATGCGCTTAGTTGTCAACTTTCCCTTTTATGCTTCTATAACTGAGAAAAAAAATCGATTTTCATAAAACGACTTCAGTGAAGGAGCAGAAAGAGTGAGGAGAAGTGTGGGACAGACTGAGAGTGGGAGTTGTGCGGTCGCAGCGGTTTCTCACCTCGCTGGCCAGCTTCTCGTACTCCTCCATCAGTTTCTCGTTCTCCTGGTTGACGGCCAGCACCTTGCAGATACGGTTGGCAGCTGTCTCGGCCTGAGAGGGAGAGTAGCAACAGCTGATTTACCCAGATTCACGCAGCTCGCACGTTTACTCAGCGCTGACGTTACGTCACGATGACCGCGTTTCACGTGTGTCATCTGATTTATTCAATTACAAAGGGAACACTTGCTCATTCGGTTTGTGCTCCGAGCTCGTCGATCCACAGAAAAATAACGACATGAAACGTGGAGAAGTGAGGCGACACCAGCTCACCTGTTCTGCGCCGGCGAAGGCGTGGTAGAAGCAGGACACGTAGGTCATGATGGCCTTCTCGTCAGGTTTGGGTGTGTTCACGATATCTGAAGGTGCAAAAACAATGTTGAGCTTTATTATTATATTATTTTAAAATAGTCTTGGCAAAGGTTTGAAAGAATGATCCACAGGGCAGGAAAGCAGAGCAGACGTTTGATTCGTTTTTACTGCATTTTATTCTGAAAAGCCACTTTGTCAGGTTTAAAAAGCATTTTTTAAATAACATTTTTATTAAATATTTAAAAATCTGATACAGCTTAGTGTGGCAATATTGTATCGATGCAGGGACACTAAATATTTCACTAAAGAACCAGAACTCATCTCACCTGGTAGGAAGCAGCCACAGTCTGACCTGGACTGACTGCAGTCACTCTCAGAGAGACTGATCAAGGTTTGCAAATAACTTAGAAATGCAGACAGATTACCAACATGCTGCCATCAGTCTGAACGGATCTTTGATCCTAACTGGCTGCCAGCTGTTTGTGTCCTCGTTATATTTCTGTAGACCAGGAGGTTTACTGAGTGCAACTGTCACAGTTAAATGTGAATTACTGACGTAAACAGCAACAGACGTGAGTTTTGAGTTTTTATTGCAGTTAATTGTCAGAAACAGAGTGTGTGTAACTGCAAACTTGGTGACTGGTGACTCCCACCTCAGTTAAATATGCTGAATTAAAATGTGACCGTGAAGCGTAAAGAGCATTATGATTTATTCTTGCATTAATCACTCGTTTTAGGACATCTGCCTACAAAGCAGTGATATTTCCAAGGTCAGAGCCGCTGGTTCCTGAGTAGATGCATTTAAAGTGATTTAAAATGCATTCGTTTTTTCAATGAAGATGATTGAATTTTCCGAGCAAGCCGGAGCCACCGTGTCTGCCATCATGCATCTCGCTGCAGCTGAGCTCATCACCGTGTGCGTCAGCATAACAAGACAGAACCCGCTTCCTGCACTGCTCCGTCACGTTGACGTCTCGTGGCCTCACCTTCAGCGTCGAGCATCTTCGGGATGTCCAGGTACTTCTCAGCCACCTCGAAGGCGGTGTTCAGGTTACCGATGGGGTCGTCCTGAAGAAACACACAATCAGTGTCACACACAAAAGACTACACGGGGAAGCACGCCAGCCACGACAGTTCTGATGAGTGTTTTGAAGGCGAGAAATAAACCTCATTAAGAAATGTTTCAGTTTCAGAGTTTTGGCAGGATTTTGGCGAGCAAACAGCAGCGCAGTTTCCAATTCTGTCGCATCACATCCAACTTTAAGGGATGCAATTTTGGCAAATATTCTTATTAACACTCTTAATCAAGCTTGTGATCTACAAGTGCAGTATTGTGATGGGTTGTCTTTTTGGGTTCTTTTTAATGAGCTGAAATCAGTTCACAGGAAAAAATATTTCTAACAGAGCTTCAATGATGAAAGTGAAAAGACATAAAAAGACTGCATTAATCAAGGTTCAGTATAAAGGTTGAAAATAGAGGGGAAAGTAGAGAAGGATGGGCCACCTTTCTCAGTTTGGAGTAGTCAATGAGGTCGGGTCTGTGTCTGTGGATGAGGGCACACAGGGCCAGGCCATCCTTCCAACTGAGAAGAAGAAGAAGAGGAAGGAGGGAGGCATGAGTGAGGAAACAGCGGCAGGCAAAGAGGCGTGAGGAGAAAAGAAGGAGAGTAGATGATCAGTGGGTGACATGGAGCGAGGAAAACATAAAGAGGAAAAGAAATCAGCATCAGACAGAATTATAAGCTGAATGATTGCAGTTCCCTGCTGATGCCACAGGTCGGCATCGCTCACCCACCTAATGTGGAAGTTCTGTACATTGACGTTCCTGTAGGGGGCAGTCTTCCTCTGGCACCACAGCAGCAGACCCTCCTTAGCAGAGGTCTCTGAAAAAGTTGAGAAGAGGAGATGATTTTAGATGAGGGTTTGTGTTATTTTGAACATTAAGAGAAGAAGAATAACAGTCAGGAAGAGGATGACAGAGAGTGATTGGGGCTGTCAAAAGTTTAAATACTGCACAAAGATGTTTAGGATCAAGATCTGGCATTAAAAAAAGCTGTATGATGTTAGCAGCAGTCAATATATTTCTCAAGCTCGTCTGACGGGTGGCTTAAAGATAATTTCCTGCACTAGTGGAGGGAAGAGGAGTTATGAGAGGTTAGAGCGAGGTCGATGGCGAAGAAAGTCAAGCTGTATGACAGCAGAAGAAGAGTGAAGAGCGGAAGCAATAAAAGCTAAGCTAAAGGAGATGACTTGAAGGTAAGTGGGGGCGTGGGGGGTGTGGGGGCGGAGTGTGGAAGGACAGAGTGAACAAGGTCGGAGTCTTTGTAAACAAGAATTTATTGTGGGTTGACCTGCTGACAGCATTAAGGTTAAAATAAAATGGCATGAGGTGCAAATGCAGCCCAGGGGTGGGATTACCAAACAAGGAAGCAACAAATCACCCCACACCCACACACACGCACGCACACACACGCACGCACAGAGTTAAAGGCATTAAATCTACTACACTCATTTCCAGCTTCATCGTTTTATTCTAAAACTGCATCCACACTGGAAGCGCTTCACTCTCTGTGCATCGCTTTGAAGCCCGCGGCTGGTTGCTTAGGATATTCCAGGCTGCCGTTGCCTAGGTGACCCTCTAATATATTTACTACCAGGTCATGTGCCAATCATCGCGGTTCTTAACTTTCATGGGTAGTCGTTTCAGTTGCTTGGCTAAAGTTTACTTCTGATCGTTCCCACTTCCTGTCCACAGTGGTACCTGTAGCTCTGCTGCATGTCATTCACTTTCCGTGGTCATTGGTTGCTATGGTGCTGCAAATCATTTCTAGTGTGCACGCAATTTAAGATATTATTACATTACTTAAGATAGCTTTGCATGACCATACAGTTTGAAATAAGCTTTATTTAGCTAAAACTGGGCCTTGGTTCATTCTCTGTCAGAAACTAGACATTTTATTTCCTCTTCCTCTTTGATTGGCTTTCCTTTGCAAACAGAAGATGACCATATTAGGATATCTGCTCTTAGTGACATCATACAGAGCTGAGAGTAGAATGGTCTGAAACTGAGTGCTGAGAAGTCTCAAGGAGATGTTGAATATGAGCATCTACAGTTTTAACAGTATATATATGTGTGTGTGTGTGTGTGTGTGTGTGTGTGTGTGTGTGTGTGTGTGTGTGTGTGTGTGTGTGTGTGTGGTTTATCTCATTTCCTAAGAAGATGACTCAGAATGCCCTTCACAGATTTGACTGACTAGACATATCCAAGCTGCAGTGCTCGTGCTGTTGGTTTGCTTTCATAAAGTGCATAAAGGCAAAAACACAGGTCATTTTAGCTCATTGCTAGGTGGTTGCCAGGCAACATTTTGGCATCATAAAACATTATGCACAAATTAAGAGTTGCGGATATAAGCTAAATGTTATTATTGTGAAATAAAAATGATATGGTGCTTTTATAAAGTGTTGTAAAGCTGAAAACGGTGCTTCAGGGGCCTGAGATGCACCTGTGTGCCAAGTTTGGTTGTTCAGCTCCTGATTGTGTGGGAGGAGTTGGCAGCCAAAGAAACAAATAAACACACAGAGATTTTGTGTATTCTAGCAAGATGTGTTTAACTTTGCGTTCACGTGACTGTATTTGAGACACAGACAACTGTCTCTGTCTGTTGTGCTCAGGCATGGTGACTGCTCCAGCAGTTTGGCCAAACTCTTGCAAAGACTAATTGCAAACTCATAACTCGTGCATTATCTCACTATTTAAGTGATAACCACTAAAAAAGTTAATTTAAGCTTAAAAAATTCAGTGTTGCTTTATGGAAACACACCTTCCACAGAGATGTCCTGGATGGCAAAACGCAGGATGATGGTCCAGATCATACCAAGAGTCATCTTCACGTTACCGTCGACGATTTCTACAAAACCAAACACACGGACGCGTGTTACTCGTCTTAGCAGATCCTGATGAATTAATCAGATAAAACTCAGACTCATTTTAAAGGTCTTGTCTCACCCTCAGCACCAATAGACACCAGCTTGACCCCCTTGCTGCAGATGAAGTCCAAAGCTTTGTTAACGTTGGCGATCTTGTGGAAACGCATCTTGCCTTTGTCGGGTTTGGGCAGCCTCTCACCTGAGAAAGACGAGGAACAGATTTATTAGCTCGTCCATCAAGCTGATCAGTAGTTATTTTTTAAGCTAAGTGTCAAGGAAAAATACACCATCTCCAAGAACATGTGATCTCAATTTTACTTGTTTGTGTTAGTTTATTTACCAAAGAACACAGTTATGAATTATAAGAGTAATTCCATTCATGAAACCTGCAGAGATGTAGCCAATGTGACACCACCTGTTACTATGTAGTCTACAGTTTTCAATATTCTAGCTCAGGATTTTGATCATCACCATCTCAGTTTTTTTGGTTTTCTCGTTTTTAAACCAGACATCACAAAAGACAAGTAGACCTGCCAGGGAAATGCTGCGAACTAGTCAATCACAAGGTAGAACCGCCTACTTTATCCTATACAGAGTTTAAAAAGAATGATCCGACTCCAAAACGCTGTAATCCTGCAGCGTTCACTGGTAACATTTGACACACGTACTGTTAGAAAGCGCGGATTCATGAGTTTCACGTGGTTGCTGGCAGGTAGCGACGGAAGTATTCAGCCATACATTTTAAAATTTACCACAAGTTTCTATGTTCGTTAGATGATTCTTTCTGATACAACAGTCAGAAATTAAAAAAATATGACTTAAAACTTGAAATAGAAACTAACACTGAAAGTTTTCATTGATGTCATAAAATCACGTGAGTGATAGTTTAATGTTCCTCTTAGATTTCTTTACAGTCAGACTTTGTTCAGTCTCCCCCTGGTGGCCACAAGAAAGAATGCAAGTACTTTATTTGTTTTTTAAACGTCTCCATCTTTGAGATGCAGTCTCTTCTTATTTTCAACTCACTGTTTTAAAACAGATTTTTTTTTGCTATTATATATAAAGTGATGATGACTGCTGGATTTTATGGATGGAAGAAGGTACAGTGTGGGAGTGAAACACAACAATGTTTAGGAGTGTGAGCAATCAACATCAGTCTCATTCTACAAAGAAAATGACAAAAAAAGAAAAGAAAAAGAAGTGTCACCAAAATAGCAAAAGATCTGCTCTTTTTTTTTTCTTACCACAAGGATGTGCCAAATCCAAGTATGTGATCCGGTATCATTCAGTTTTTAAATGTGTATACATGCATGGGTGTGTGCTCTCAATGACATCCACCTGATATGACCTCCAGCAGCAGCATGAGTTTGAGGCCATTTCTGAAATCCTCTTCAATGTTCTCAATCTGTGTCCCGGCCTTCCTCAAGTGGGAGTTACACCAAGCTGTGAAGGTCTAAAGGAGAGAAGAGACGGAGGCTCACAGGTCACATGTACCACATATTACACATTTGCATTCACAGACTTGACCTGCCGTGCACACCACATACATCACACAAAGAGCCAGAAACACACGGTTTTACGAACTCACACACACAATTTGATGCTTCCTCTTTGAAACCGGGGTCACAAAATGCTTAGCGAGGCCCGAGCTGTCCTCTTTAATCTGTGACCTTGCTGCGACTGCGGCTGCTGACGGAGAGCGGGCGCAGTCACACTCTGACACTTGTGTCAGTTTGACGGCCGCTTGATCTTAGTTCAATCTGACTTTGGGCTCAGATCATTCTGACGTGTGCTTTTTGAGGCTGTGGAACTTCCCAGATGAATTCATAAGAGGATGAATGACGCTCACTGTAATAAACAGGTGCAATCTGCAGAACTAACATGTGATAATTACCAAGAGGTGTTTGAGTCATTTGTATGCTTGGTTTAACTAATAATGGATGCATATCTGGACACGTTTGCATTTTAATTAGGACTCTGCACTTTAGGAAACATGTGCACACCAAGAAACATACTTTCACATGAGAACTCTTAAATATTTAATGATTATTTATTGAACATTTTAATGATTCTATTTTCCAGACACATGATGTAGGATAAAGAGATAATACTAGCCACCAATTCTGCTGATTAGCATGTGTCCCAGGGGGTCTGAAGACTATTTAAAGATTCTGGGAGAGACCAAGGTGGAAAGGGTGGGGGGAGTTGCTGGGGTTGCCAGTGGGCTGCCAGTTGGCAGTTAGAAGGTATACGTTTGCTGCTGGTAGAGGCTGCCACGTTAAGCTGGTGAACTGAAGCCTCGATAAATAAATAAAACAAACTTGTGCTGCTCAATGGTCATTTGTTACACATGCAAAAGACTCCTCAGCATCAGCACCATCCATTTCTTAAACAGCTGGACATTCAAGTGCAGTAAAGTGAAGTCTGCAAGTGTTCAGGAAGGTACCTGTTATTAAAATAAATAAATAAATTTTTAAAAAAAATTCACACATTTCACTCGGGCGCTACGTCTTTCAGTAGCTACAAATCACCCGTTTTGGAAACCAAGCTGCTCACTGAGTGATGGTGGCGTGTGTAATAGACAGAAATGGCTCTTAAGCGCTGAGTGCTTGCCTTCGGTCTGTCTGGAAAACTGCCTAATGGCGTCAGGCGTACGTGCAGGGGACAATTCAGTGCGCCATTCAATCAATCAATCAGCCGCTGAAAGGTATTTCTGAGAGGCTTTCCATGCTGTTTAGCTTTAATCTGAAAAAAACAAACAAAAAAAAAACGTGTGTGTGCGCGCTTGTGTTCAAACTCAGGGGTGTGAGTGTGCGTTAGGGCTTCTGCTGTAGAGCCAAAACTTTGCCAGGGTTTGGAGGATGCGGGGGTGTCGAAGCAGAATAAGTACATGAGCTGAATAACTAACTACAGATGATTGTGTGGGTGGAGTGAGGAGAGACACAGAGAGAGAGGGATGTATAAAGTAGCAATGAAACAGGGTTTGTGCTCAGTAGGTAAAAACAAATTTCCCAACACAGCAAAGCACATTAAATAGCCCAGGAATCAAAATGCATGTGCCCTTTAAAGTAAGTGGGTGTGTGTTTATGCCTATATGAGCTTCCGGGCCTCGCGTCTGCATCTGCCTGCGCGGACAGAAAAGCAAAGACGCAAAGTACCAGAGACACAGATAAGACAGAGATGTCTGAGTGGAAGAGGAGAAAAAGTCGCAAATTAGAGTGAAGGGAAAGTACAGCATGTGGGGGAGAGTAGACACTGCTCATCTCTGCATGTGCTCTAGAGCTGAAATGATTATCTAATTAGTTGATGGAGTGAAAAATGAATTAACCTGATGACTAATTGAAGCAATTTTTCAAGCAAACATGCTTCAAATTTCCTTGTTCCTGTTTCACAGCTCTAATGATTTTCTGCCCGCTGTTATGTAAATGCAAACTGAACATATTCATCATTTTTTGACATTTTATAGATAAACCGTTACATAAAGAGTTTTCAGGGCTGGCTCTGCTTCACTCACACTGATTTTCTCTCCTTCCTGGAGGAGACTGGTGATGGGCTGAAAGTTTCTTATAATTAAACGGATGCAATGTAAGCATGTGATGATTTATAATATACTTTATACAGAGTTGCTTAGAAGCCAATATTCAGTTTGACCGCGTTTATTCTTCAACACAGTCTGAACTCTCTTAGTCAGTCTTTCCATTTCTTTAAGCAGGAATAGTTCTCCAGGCTTCTTGAAGGACATTCAAAGCTCTTCCTTGGATGTTTCTGCCTTTTGTTCTGTTCTCTGTCGAAATGATCCCACACTGCTACAGTGTTGAAGTCAGGGCTCTAAGGAGGCCAATCCACAACAGCTTTTATTGCAATGGCAGTCTGTTTGCTGAAAAATGAAGCCGTTTCCAGATGATATTACATGGTGCTCAAAATCTGGTGGTACTTTCTGTGCTCATAATTCTTCAATTTTGGCAAAATCTTCAACACCACTGGCTGCAATACAGCCCAAACCATGACAGAGGGTCCACTGCGTTTTACGGGTGACTGCAGACTCACAGTTGTACCTCTCTCCTGACCTGTGCACATACCGATGATGTAAAATCTGGATTCGTGACTTCATCACACCTGTTGCTATCGATTTTCAGTCCAGTTCTTGTGCAATTTGGGATACCTCAATCATCATGTTTCTTAAGAATGGCTTCTTCACAGCCACCCTTCCACTGAGACACTAAATGGAGTACCTGAAGAGCCGAATGGAGGTCCTGTATCAGATCTTTGCTAGGTTTTTTCCCCCTATTTCTTAAGAATATGACTTTCAAATACTGTCCATCTGCTGCAGAGAGCATCTTAGGCCTGAGAGGCCTTCTTATGTCCTCCACTAGTCCAGTTTCCTATTTTTTTTAAAGGAGAGACTGCACACCATGCCAAGGTTTCTGCTTACAGCCCTTTGGGAATCTTTGGTATTTTGCTTAAATTCAACTAAATAAATGGGAACAAGTTGTGTGTTTTTACGAGAAGCTGCTAATAACAAATTTCCTAAAGATACAAATTAAAATCGGTTCTTTGCTAAGTTGTCTGTTATGTGTATTCACAACACTTGATCACCACTAGAAGCCTTTTTTAGGCTCAGGCGATTCATGGGTCATGTATACATTAAAAAAAGGCCAAAAATGATTACCTAAACATTATGAGTTCGAATGCATGTTTTTGACTTAAAAAAAAAAAAAAACTTTTTTGAAGACTATAAAAAAGAACTTTTGATGTGATCTTAGGATCAACGGTCATCAGTGGAAGTACCTTATTTAAATGCAAATTAGAGACTTGGTTTCTTTGCATAATATTTCCATCTTAAGCTACTTTAAATGTTTCCCATTACAGTGTTTTGGGTTTTATTGCCCAGCTGTTTGGATTTAGTTAAATATTCTGTGAGATTTAGTGTTTTGTGCGATCTGGGCTAATTTGTAATCGCACAGAAGAAAACTTTTACTTTTGACTAAGTATTTTTATACTCCAGTACAAGTAGTTTTACTATTAGAATCACTGTCTTTTGCCAGATTTGGACATTTGGAAACTAAATTTGTCACACCTGGAAATCAAAAATGGATTCAATCTGAATTTGAGATTGAAGGTCAAAGAAAAGGAGACTCGTAGACAAAGAAGCAGCAAAGCGGAGGAGCGGAGAGGAGAGGAGTGACAGGAATGCCCAAGCCCTGCTGTAATTTGATGTAAGGGTCTGGAGGGGAGAAGAGACCGCTTGTCCAACCAGCAGGTGCTCATCTCCTTTGCCATGCATGACCAAATTTAGACAGACTCCTAATCCAGCACGCACAGACCACCCGGCCAAACTGGAGAGGGGACAAGGAGGTGTGTGACGGAGAATGGAGGAGGTGGAGGCAGGGAGGTGGGCGGTAGGTGTGGAGGCTAAAATAGGTGGAAAAGGAGGAGAAAGAGCTGCGAAGGGGAGGGGAGGGGCAAGGAGTGAGGGGAGGTGGTGGAGGCTAAATCGGATTGCCATGGGACACCAGTGGACAGCTGAGAAGGCAGGATTCCTGAGGTGAACTGTAAGAGTCCAAGACAGGAGGAGGAGGAGGAGGAAGGAATGGATTTAAGAATATGATGAGATATAAAATAATAACTTGAGAAAGTGTGGGAAAGATGAGAGGGGTGATGCCGCGTCTACATCAAAGGGAAAGCTGTTAGAAGCTGACGTGGCGCTACGTGAAATTAAGGATTCACTTAACCTGGAGACACAAACACAATCACAGATTCATTAAATCCAAAACGCTGCATGAGCCTCAGATAAAAAAACAACAATTAACTGTGACACATGTGAAACTACAGCTGATACTTTTCTCCGTCTGTGCTGTACCGCTTCATTATCTCCCCCCACCCGCCAGCCGGCCCCTCCTCGGTCTGCTGTAACGCCTGTGGTGGTCGTCAAAGTCCGCCGGCATGAAGTCACCCTCCATCCCAGCATCCTCCCCCCTCCCCTCTTCTTTCTTCTGTCTGTCTGCACCTGTTGGTCCGTCCTGGCTCAACTCAGCTGGGACCTTTTTACTTGTAAAATGAGGTCACAGTGTAGCCCAGCTGAATGCCCGTCATGACTACGTCCCCCCAGGAGACCCAGGGCTGCAGACCCCCCACCCTCCAAATACATCTGACACACACACACACGTTCCCACACATTCTTCCTCCCATCTCAACGGGCTATGAGCTCCTGATAATGTCAGCTACCCAGGCTGTTCATCACAGAGCTGACGCAACCGCAAGCTCTTTACGGCTCCTGAAAAGAACGCACATGCTAGCAGAAGATGCAGATTAATTACTTTGTTGGAGGGATAAGCACGACTAATGTAGACTAGATGATTAAAGGCTGGTGCCCTCATCAGCAAGTGGCAGAACAACCTCTGGTTAGAGTTAATATTCATACTTTCTGACTACACAATGCCCGTTAGCTGCTAA